GGGCGCATTAGTTAGTTCTGGCTAGGCGCATTAGTCTGTTTGGTTTGTTGTAAGTTGGCTGGCTCGACTCATTTAATGAGCGGCTTGATTAGAGGCTCTATGAGCTTAAAGATGCACGAGTTTGAACTTGTTCATGAACTGAACTCAAACAGTGTAAATTTAAACGAGCTCAAACTCGAGCAACCATTAAAGAAGCTCGACAAACTTCGAACCAAACTTAAACATACTTTTGACAAACAAGCTCGAACTCAAACATGCCTAAGCTCGGTTCATTCGGGTCGTTTGCAGCCCTTCAATAGCTTATTTATTTATACTTTTTAGTTTCTTTTGATCATCACTTGGTCACTGTTACAAACACAATAACATATAATAGCTAGAAAACTACTACGAGGCCATACTTAAAAGATATGGTAATTCAAATAATCATTAACTTATATATTTATAGATTGCATCAACCGTCGTTATTTGTAAACATTGCACTATAGTCATTGCAAGCCTTGTTACTTCTGCTTGTAAACATATTATTATGTTAGTCGTCACTCCTTTGGACATGTTCGTGAGAAGACTACCATATCTGTTGTGTATCAATTATGACCACTTTTGGGAGAATTAATATGACAACTTATGAATTATTGTTGACTGCTAGTGAGTTAAGTCCACTACGCTCATCTTTTCATTAGTGTTTGTAAGGAGCCTTTCACATTCACAACACATCAATCATCATTGCTTGCGAAGTAGATTTATATATTCATTTGCCAACTGATATTAGTTGTTGGGTGTGGGATGATCATCGCCTATTTCTCTGTATGCATTGGTTGACAAATTGCTACCATCCATACATATTAACCATCAAAGTTCATGGATATTGATATTCTTTGCTCATATGTTAATTAGCATATGTCGTAGGAATGTCACTACATTTATTACGCACCCTTCACGCTCTACTTGTGAGCAAATAATTGTATATTCTCATGTTGTCATCCATATGTGGCTCATTGTATGCATGTTAGATCTCATACAATGATTCATAGGACCTTATATGTATTACAAATGTATTGTCCTCTACTTGTAGGATGTATGTTGATTAGATTGTAAGTTGAGATCAACCGCATGGAGACCATTGTATTCATTGCATATCTTAGTTTTTGCTTACAAGCAATCTATTGTATACACCATATACCTTTTTCTATGCCGCTAGATGATTTGTAGATGAAATTGCCAATGCTTCATGCTAACATTTGCATATTAACTAATATACTTGCCATATTCATTGAAAGTTTGCATTGTTATATGTCAACTTGCATTGAATGTGGGAGAATCACATGCCAACTTGTGCTTATTTGTGAATTGCTTGGAATTGTGTTCAACAAAAGTTTATCTTTGCTCATTGATATTCATCACAAGGCCCTCATTATTAGAGTCTTCGAGTCACTTGTTTTCATTTGTAGATTGATTAGTTGAGTGTCATGAGTCATCTTGGTTTCACTATTCATTGTTTTGTGCACTTGAGAGCTTCATCACCAGTTGCCCTTTACTTTGTATGTTTAATTTTTATTGTTTTGCAAATTACAGTTTTTTAAAAAAATTTAAATATCAAGTTCGATCCCCTGTGCTTACTTAAGTTATTTTATTCTCAATTCAAAATCAAGTCTAAGTGCAGTCCTCTATTATTCATTTATTCAACATTAGGTCATCTGCATTTGCTCTAAATTTTGGCAGCCCCCTTTTTAGGGGAAATTTTAGAAGTCTAGGCCTCCCGCCATGGTATAGAAAAGTATGTACGGTAGCTATCGGGCGACACCACGGCCGAAAATTTTCAATCCCACCACGCTATGAGAGTGTGTATGGGTCTTTGAGGTACCGATTTGAAATGCACAATTCTTTCCCCCGATATGCTACGTGTGTGCTTAAGGGTACTTAGAAATATCGCCGCCACTCTACGAGAGAATGTACAGGGCCTACCCGCTTCGCCGTAAATGCTGCACCATGTTCCCTTCCCACCACATTAGAGAAAAAGTGTGTTTATGCGGCTTTCGGTGTACCACGAATGCCGAATGTGAGATTTAAGTTTAAAATGTTATACCTTCACAAGGATCGGTGTCGACGACGATGAAGATGTACGAAAACTTTTTTCTGTTTCACTTTCTCTTTTTTTAATCATATCAATTTTTTAATTGAATTTTCTTTCTCCTCTTTTTTCTTTTTCTTTTTTATCTTTTTTTTTAATCTGTTTTTCTCAAGATCTTTTTTTTTTCCTCTCTCACATACATGTATATGATTATAATCACCAATAATAATGTGCATAATTATCTAAAAAAATTAATAATACTAAATTTATTATCTAACAATAATAGCCAATGTGAATAATAAAGGTCACAGTGAAAGGGATATTTACTTCCTTTTTTTTTCACTGTTTGAAATGGGCTTTTGAAGGCTGAATTGAGTGTGTTATTTGAGTGGACTTAAACTGGGGGTTTCACGTGAGCAAAGTCGGCCCAGGGAAATGGACTTGGCTAGCGGGATTTGAGCGCAAAAAAAGCGAAGTTCTTCGTCTCTGTCTCGCTTTAACAATGCAAATGGGCGCGGGGGTAATGCACTCGACAAATGGAAGGAAGTTGGGTAGAGAACATGTAATGCTTTCACCTCTTTTTCATTGTTTTTTGTTATTTTATTGTATTTCAAAGGTCAATAGAGAGGACGGGCTTGTATGTTATAATATGAATTGACAAATGGACCTTATCTATATGTTTAGTTGATATAGTAAATTAATAATGCTAGATTTATTATATATTGAAATGATTAATTCTTATGTATTAATCTTTTGTTATAGAGTAATGTGCAATTTGGTCACAATGATTTGTTTATTGAGAAGCTTTTTTTTTTTTTTTGACATTTAGGCCATTAAGGCAAACTCACACACACAACGCATACACAAAGACTCGAAGCCAAGACCTCTTAGTTGTAAGCATAAGCTCTCAACCAACAAGCCAAGGTGAGCTGTGTTTATTGAGAAACTTTCATTTCTTAATTTTATCTGATCATTATTACATACCAATTGTGGAACTACAGAATAGTCTTTTGACTCTTTCCTCTTGTAAGTGTGTAAGCACTTATACTGTAATAGAAGAAAGAAATCTATATTATCTTTTTTTGAAATATTTTTCCCTCATTTTTTTTATCAAAGTTAAAAATATATATTATTTTTCTCCAATATATTTAATAACTAGAATTACTTATAGGGATAAAATTAATTATTTTATTTTTTATCAAAAAAAATTGAAGATATAATTTTTTATTCACGTGCACGTGGAATAAAACTAATTATCCCAAATCTATGCTTCAATTTGTTCTTTTAGAAAATTATCTAAAATATTTTGAGTTACAATATTGCATTAGATTTACATCTACGTGAGGAACTCCATTTTTGTGAATAGCACTAAGTGCCACAACTATTTTCATTTACAATTAGCCTCTTCTCACATCAATAGGCACTTTTGTTTTAAGTGAAATTTACCTTCACAAGATTGTGTTGGGAAAGTAACACACACAGAGTCTATAAATAAGAAAGAGAAAATACAATGAAAAAAAAAAAACATCAGGATTTAATATGGAAAAATTTGAAATATGAAAAGGACCCTACAACCATACAAAACCAAGAAATTCACTATGAAAATTAGGATAATTTGTACAAATATCTTTCCTTCTCGCTCTCTCCTTATATCCCTTTATTCCTTACACTGTTCTCTACACATAATATATAAAGAGACAAATGTAAAACTAACCAAGGGGTGCAACACTTGCAACATTGTGGCACCAGGTTTGGAGTTCCAGAACACTTCACTCTATATCTCTAGTCGGATTGACAGTGTAATAGCGTCAAAATCTAGAGTGCTATGGTGCTTCTCTCTGTCTATCTCCAACCCAACTATACAACGTTACAATGTTGTACAGAAAAAAGGTACAAAACACCAAAACCCAAGCACATGGCAACCCCTTAATGAGCTCAACCAACATAATTGAGGTCCCATACAGTAATACAACTTCATTGATCTACAAAATCAGATTCTACACAGAGCTAAAAATTTGTTTTGTTTGTGAGTTAGATTTTTCAATTTTGTAAAATAAATTACCCATTTGTAAAAAATCTAATATTCAATATAAAATCCTCTAATTAACTGATAATTATCTTATGCCCTAAACTAAATTCTCACTTAGAATACTATCAATTTTTTTTTGTTCTTTAAAAAATAACGAGTTATGTCATGGGAAAGCTGCAAGCATATTCTAACTTTTCAACACTCATCATTAGTTGTTATGATAAAGCTAAAAGCTAAATCCGTCGGCTGACACCTTCAAAGAAATTTGGATTGATAGGAATGAAATTAATTTATAACTTCATATCAAAATAAAACATAAGAAAAAAATCAGCAAGTTGGTAATGTAAAAACAAACTCAAGCAATTGACATTTGTTTCCTTCTTTATAGGTCAAAACCCTTATCTTACCTCTTCTTCCACCACCTAATCTTCCCTTAAAACATTGAATTATATTCTAAACTAAATTCCTAATAACCTCATTATGTGCAATAATCCATTGCTTATAAAGCCCCACCTCAACTTGGTTCACTCCAAATTATCCTAAGCAGGCTTTAGAGTTCTATTCTCATGGCAACTTCTTCTTCTCTACTCTCCTGCTATATTCTTCTCAGTCTCTTCTTCTTTTTTCTTCTAATAGAAAAGAATTTTCTAGTATTAGCGCGAGAGCTTGCAGGAGAACACCATGTCATTGACATCAAGTCACTATTGCCGAGCAGTTCCTGCTCCATGCCTGATAAAAGTTTGCAAGAAATTTTAATAATTTCTTAATATCCTATTGGAGACTTTTTTTTTTCATAAATTAATTAGAATAAAATTAAATCATGCATCAATTAAGCACATTTGATAGATATTCGTAGCTTAAACGTCTTGCAAAAGCAAAAACAAAACTCAATATATACATTAATTAGTTATTCCAATTGTGACAGGCACAAACTCTTCGAGGCTCAACGTGGTCCACTGGCATGGCCTGTGCCAATCCCAAGCGCGCCAGGACAAGCCGTCCCATTGGGAGCTCCTCCGTCGGGACCAAGCCCGCGTCGACTACATCCATCGCCGGACAACCAACTCCAAAGCCCGCCTCAACCCTATTAGCGACTCTCTTTTTGCAGATGTTCCGGTAAGCGTTGGTTATGCACTTGCTTCAAATGACTATATCATCAATATAGGCTTAGGCACCCCTACCAAGTACTTCTCAGTTAGTTTTGACACCGGTAGCGATCTCACTTGGACCCAATGCATCCCTTGCGTTAATTTTTATACCCAAAAAGACCCACTTTATGACCCAACCCAGTCCTCCACCTTCACCGACACCTCATGCAACTCTTACTATTGCACCCAACTCAATCGATTTGGTTGCTCCTCTACCTCCACCTGTCTCTACGAAGAAGTATATTTCGATTATTCTAGTACTAATGGCTCACTCATTCAAGATACCTTAACATTCTCCTCTGATATTATACACAACTTCATTTACGGTTGTGGACATAACAACACCGGGTATTTCGGACAAGTAGATGGGTTATTAGGCCTCGGCCGAGGGGTTGTTTCAATTATTTCTCAGACAGCTCAATTGTATGACAAAGTATTCTCATATTGTCTACCATCAGGGTCCAACGCAATTGGATATCTCATACTAGGTAGCTCTGTCCCTGATGTGAACTATACACCGATGCTAACAAACCCATACGCGCCATCACTCTACTTCCTCAAGCTCATTGCCATTTGTATTGGGGATGCAAGGATTGACTTTTCACCTACTGGAACTGTGTTGGACTCTGGCACAACATTTAGCCGCCTGCCAGCCTCTGTCTACTCCGCCATCCGCAACATTTTCAAAAATATAATGGCCAAATACCCGACGGCGCCACCATTGTTAAGTCTCGACACATGCTATAACCTCACTAACTACCCAAATGTTGAGGTGCCGTCTATGTCGTTGATCTATGATGGCGAAGTGATAGCTTACTTAGATGGTTCAGGGATAATTTACAAGGCCACTATATCTCAAATGTGCTTAGCCTTCGCTCAAAATAATGATGATAGTGAGGTTGTAATCATTGGTGCTACGCAGCAACGCACATTCAATGTAGTCTATGATGTGGAGAACTTAAAAATTGGCTTTGGAAGTAATGGTTGTAAATAGTGATGGATCGATCAAGTTGATTGGGTTAAATGCAATGTATTGATGTAGTAAGAATGAATAGGTTTTGTCATGTTGGTTATAAAATCACGGCGTGTGGGACAATAAATGTAGTCATGAAAAAAAAAAGTTCAATTGTATCCAAATTTTATGAAATAATTAAATATCAAATGAAGGCAATGTTATATGAGTTGATGAAAACCATTAAGATGTGCTTAATTTCTTTATAATTATGAGGGAATGAAGACATTAATTGTTGGAGGTTAGAATTTTGATTATCAGAAATAAAATGTCATCTTTCTTTGCAGAAGAGCTTATACTTAAAAAGAATGAAGACTACTTTATGTGATGATTTTTCTTCAGTGTCAAACCCTTACAAAGTAAAATCATCACATAATTTTCTTCAACTTCACTCTTTTGGTTCTAATTTTGGCTTCAATTTTCTTTTTTGTTATGTTCTTTAAATGGAAGCATTTAAGGATTATGAGTATTGCCAACCCATTTGGCTGTACAACTTAACGCCTTAAATCTTTGATGCAACCAATTACCAATCCCATGTTCCTTAATTATGGGGACATTTAGGCTAATTTAGGCAAACTCACATACCGATCACTTATGCAATCTTAGAACACAAGACCTCTAGTTGATAGCCAAAGCTACCAACAAACTGATCAATGAGAGTTATGTAATGATTAATTATGTGATTTACATTTTTTATAAATTTGAAGAATTTTTTTTCTAAATATTATGCCCCCACATGAAAAAAATTCTAACTCTTTCACTGTCTGCATGCATCATGTATGAGTATGCTCATCCATAATAATTATACAATTCTCAAACTTATGTTCATCGATAAAAAAAAAAGTTCTAATCTCCAGCTCATGCTTCATTGAATGGGGTCAAAGCCCTTGACATTGAAATCTTTTCCAAAGTGTCTTAATGAAATTTTGCACTTCATCAAATCGATGATATAATTTGATATAGTCAAAACACATTAAGCTTTGATAGTAAAATAAAAGGGCGAATTAAGAGGGCATGAGAAGACTAATGCTTTCTCTTGAAATAATTTTTAAGTTTTTCTATATCATATAATTTCAATTATATAAATAGAATTTTTATATAAAAAAATATTAGTTTAAATAAAGTTTTTATTTTATGAACCCTATAAAATTTTAGTATTTAAAATTATAAATAATTGTTGAAGAAATATTGATAAAATTTTTATAATAATTAATTTGTGTGTCAGATTAAAAAAAATCACGCCTCTTTCACTATCAAAGAGAAACTCTATATGACCAACAAGATCCCTACGATATTGATTCAGAGCGGCGTTATGATACCATGGCACTAATTTCATTATTCGATGGACGTCTGCTCATCAAAGATTACTAGGACTAGGAACATACCGTTTAGACCTTCTTTGAGTACATGGAGGTTGAACCAGAAAAACAAGTCAATTATGTTGCTTGTAGGTTGAGAGAAGGTGCTAGTGTTTGGTGGGCACAACTACTGCAAATGACACAGAGAAGGAAAATGAAGGATTTGTATTAGGTTTAAGATAAAATAGCTTTTGAGGGTTCATGCTGATTTTGAGAAAATACTTTACCTGAAATATCAACATTACGTGCAAGGGGCTCATTTTGTAAGTGAATATACAGAAGAATTATACTGGTTGAGTCCATGGAACAATCTCAATGAATCCCGCATTCAAATCTTTGCACGATATATTGGGGGGCCTAAATAACATCTTATACAACAAATTAGAGTTGAGCTCAATGTGGTCATTATCACAGGTTGTTAATTTCACATTGTAAGCCAAAATGCAACTCATCCATCATTCAAAATTGTACTCAACTCATCACCAGATCACTAAATTAGCTGTTGAAGTTAATAAATCCAATAACCACTGACTAAAATGCCTGCAGCTCTGCTACAACCAAATCACCAAATCATCCCAACTGTGATTAATCAGGATAATAAACTGAACTCAAAACATAGAGTACAGACCTGTTAAGCCCAATACACTCAAATGTTTTCAATGTTTCCAATCCGAGCATAAATCTAAAGAGTGTCCGAGTAAATAGAAGTTAAGTTGCTGGAGGCAAAGGAAAGTGAAGAACAAGCTAACAATGACATTGATAGAAATGTGATATGGCCGGAGATGAAGTAGAAGATATATAGATACTAATTATATTTAAGGATTCATTAAACTATGGTTGCAACAATTTTTTTCCCAGACAACATCATACATCTTTTAAAAGGCTTAAAATAACTTTTCTTGGGTTCGAATTGAACAAGTGTGAGAGTGCTAATGGCTCAATTTCTTCTTAGATAGCAACTTGTATCACTTCAGAATCATCTTGAATGCTTGTGTTGGTCCTTTTTCTATTATGACAGATTCTCTATTTATTTAGACTTGTAATTATAGTGTTTGAATAATACATTACGAGCTGGAGCTCTTTTGGTTATGTTTTTTTTTTCTTTTAAAAAACCTACCAATTATATTGTTAAAAACTTAGAATCATTCGTAATTTTCATTACCATTGAGAAATCATATGAATCATTTGAAATGGGCTAGAACACATTTAAACAAACATTTTGGTTCTTAGGAAAACATTAAATAATAGAAATCATCATGACATTGTCGAAATGGGCTAGAACAAGAAAAACGTCTATTTCTAACAAAAATTCCGATGGATCACTACTCACTGGAAATAGCAGTGGGATTATCGGAGGATTCAATAATAGAAATCATCATGACATTTTTCGATGTTCTAGCAAAATTTCAACCGAAATTTTACCAACAAATTTTTTTTCGTCAAATGACGCCTATTTTAATTTAGCCATCAGTCTTTTCCGGCAGAATATCTGCCACACATTTATCGATAAGATTGCCGCCAAAATACCGCATGCTTACTTAAACCAGAGGCATTTGCTTGTGGAATTTTTGCTGGTAAAATAACGGCTAAAATTCTTCCGACGAGGGCCCTACATCAACGTTTAGCCTCCTGCTCCATCTAATTAGGTGAATTTCCTCTTCTACATCAATTCTCATGAGAAAACCCTCTCCCATTCGCTGCTCAGTTAGACTACTTCCAACCAACCATTCCTGACGATTTTACTCTTTCCAACTTCCTCTATAAGGTTGTTCATCCTCTCTACTTGCCCTTTGCCGATGTTTTGTCTCCAATTTTTAAGAATATGGGATACCTCAAAATATGCTTTAAAATATGTGAATGCTAATGTAGTTGCAGGCATTTTTTTTAAAGAGTGAATTTCCATATACTTTACCAATGTAGCAAATCCCTTCATCCAAATGCAAAGTTCAAAAGTATTTTATACTATATTTGAAGTCTTCGACACTTTTCTAAATGTACATGGAAGTTAGCAAATATTTGAGAGTTGATATTAGGAAGGAGTTGCATGTATATGAATTAAACAAAAATTTTGAGTTGGGGTGAGAAAACTAGTATATATATTTATTGAATTAACTTTATCTCTAAAAAATATTTATAGAATACTAGAAAGTTTGCACAATCAAACATATTTAATGGTTAGAGCCATAATTGATATTCTATTTGATACTTCAAAACATTCAAAATATGTTTATTTTTGTTTGGGTGCTTTCATTTTAGGCTTTAAAATTGTATATTGCCCAATGCTAACCCTTAATGAAACATTTCTTAAAGCTAGATGAACATGTATTTTGCTTGAAGTTGTGGCCAAAGTTGCTAATATACATATTAATCCAATAACATTTATAATAATTGATTCAGAAATAATGAATCATGGATGTAATTTATGATTAGATTAAGATAATCAACAATTTTGATTGAAAAATTTGTTTTATATCATATTTACGTAATCATATAATATATGCCTTATGTATAGTATTTTTAACTAACCATCTTGGAGCTTATAGTTTTTACTTTAAATAAACATCATAACAAAGTTTAAAACTAATAGCTATTATGATAAATATCACTTAACCTCTAAAATTTATAATAAGCTATCATGATATATGTTTTGTAAGTCTAATATACTTTTGGAGAGACTGGAAAGTTGTTGGGATGTTCCCTCTATGCTATTAAGTAACATTTTTTACGATTAGATGGATAAAATAATTTGAACTATTCAAATGTTGGTCTTCATTGCTCAAGCGTGATATAGATATTGGGAATCAGATGTAGAGAATATTAAAAAATCACAAGCTGACATGTATATGCAGCAGAGGTGCTGTAGAAAATGGGAGTAGTTTAGTCGAAAGCAACCAACATCGACAAAGGAGAACAACGATACATATTTTGACTAGACTATATACAAACAACAACAACATCAAGCCTTTATTCCACCGTGGGGTCGGCTACATGAATCCTTTTTCTCTATTGTGTCCTATTAAAAATCAAATTCTTGTTTAAATCTAATAAAGAAAGGTCATTCCTAATATTTTCTAACTAAGTCTTTTTAGGTCTACCCCTACCTTTCTTAACACAAGTCAAATCTAATACCTCTACTCTCCTAACCGGGTCATCGGAAGGCCGCCTTTTTATGTGACCAAACCATCTAAGGCGACTCTCTCTAATCTTATCTTCTACTGGAGCTACTCCAACCTTTTCACGTATATGCTCATTTCGTATCCTATCTCTAAGGGTAAAGCCACTCATCCACCTGAGCATCCTCATCTCTGCCACACTTAACTTAGTATTATGCTTCTCTTTTAATGGCCAACATTCGGCACCATAAAGCATTGCAGGCCTCACTACCATCTTATAGAATTTTCCCTTAAGTTTGAGGGGTACATTTCTATCACATAACAAGCCCGATGCATTCCTCCACTTCAACCATCCAACTTGAATTTTGCTGATAATATCCCCATCTATTTCACAATCATTCTGAACAATAGATCCAAGATATCTAAAACGTGTACTCTTATTAATAACTTGATCGTCCAAAGCCACAATCCCCTCACTAGGTCTATTACTACTAAAACTATACTCCATATATTCCGTTATATATCTACTCAAGCGAAAACCTTTAGACTCTAAGGTTGACCTCCATAATTCAAGTTTACCTTCAACTCCCCTCTAGTCTTATCAACAAGAATAATATCATCAGCAAAAAGCATATACCAAGGTACATCCTCTTGCAAATGACTAGTGAGAACATCCATGACTAAAGCAAAAAGATATGGGCTTAAGGCTGATCCTTGATGTAACCCAACCAAAATAGGGAAATACTTGGTCAAAACACCTTATGTTTGAACACAAGTAATAGCACATGCATACATATCTTTAATGATTTGAATATAAACATTATTGACTCCTTTCTTTTCAATAACTCTCCATAGCACTTCTCTTGGAACTTTATCATATGCTTTTTCTAAATCAATAAATATCATATGTAGATCCTCCTTATTTTCTCTATATTTCTCCACCAAACCTCTTAATAAATATATGGCTTCCATAGTCGACCTACCCGGCATGAATCCAAATTGATTTTGAGAAACATTAATATCACGTCGCAACATATGCTCCATAACTCGCTCCCATAGTTTTAAAGTATGACACATTAACTTAATACCTCTATAATTCGTACAATCTTGTGCATCACCTTTATTCTTAAAAATTGAAATAAACACACTCATTCTCCACTCATCTGGCATCTTTTTAGTCTTCAAAATAGTATTAAAAAGTTTAGTAAGCCAAGAAATCCCTTCATCCACCTCTATTGAAATATCATCAGGTCCAATAGCTTTTCCACCCTTCATCTTCTTTAAAGCCTCTCTAACTTCAACTCCATCAGACCACACCCATCTTAGTAATACTTGAATAGTCTCTTTCGTTACCTCCAGAAGGGTTCTCCGCCAGCCTTCTCCTCTGCATGCTCAAAGCCTGCACAGTAGTGGAGTTGGGGCTCAAGGAGTTTATGTTGCCTGCCAAGCTTGAATCTTTGGCAGCCAAGCTTGAATCTTTGGCATTTCCATCAGAGTATCCTTCGGCCAATGTAAAATCTAATTGTTTTTCCACTGATCTGAAAATTGCCTTCCTCTTACACGATATCCGATATGGTGGAGAAACATTAAAATCATCTTCATTTGTGAACAAAGCTCCGTTTGAAGCACAAGCACCTGAATAGAACTTCGATACTGACGACCTGGATCCTTCTGTGTAACTGCAAACATTTCCGTCATTTGGAGTACATCCGTCATGCACCCTGATTTCATTTGATTGCATGGTATCGGTAACAATATCAGAAGGCAAAGACGTGATTGCTTCTTTTCTTTTTATTATCGATGGAGTGTTAGTGAAGCTCCTAGCTGCATCTTTTAAAAAGGATTCAATGCTTTGCTCGCTGGAACACTTGCTCATTTGACTCCATTTATCAATTGCAAGATCTTCTAATCGAGGCGGTTTATAACAGAGAAAACTAACGTTAGAAGGAACCGAGCAAAGCGTTGTTTCAGAAGGTTCCTCATTTTGAGAATTTTTTCCAATACATTTGCAATACTTTACGCCTGAATCAGAAGCATCCTGTTCGTCTACAGGAACTATTTCAGGCACCTGTGCATCGCATTCACCACTAATAGAATTATCGGCTTCTCCCACCACGACATCCCTCGAAGAGATCCAGGGATTCAGACTAAGTATGCCAGTCCTCTGAACAGGTGCAAGGTTACCAGTTCTCAAATGGTGTGAGTCTGAAACTGAAGCAGTCAAGGGATTCACACTATCATGCTTATCTGCCATTTTAGCACGTAGACTTGAAGAAACATTACTTGAAGTTTCTGGAACATTCTTAACATCTGTTTCTAACCCACCATTTAAGCAATAAATCAACTGCCTAGCACCCAAGTTTCCTGCATCTGGGGCAGTGTTAAACATGCAAGTCCCCTGAACAGGTGGAAGTTTACCGGTTCTCAAATAGTAATCCAGCTTCTTCCTTAAAGAGCTATTCCAGTGATTTTTTATGGAGTTGTCAGTCCTAAATGTGAAAAGGATCATTAGCTAACCTTTACGCTAAGTTCCAAGTTTTCAACAGGAGAGAAGCATTACATAATTGAAAATTTCACAGCCAAATTTGGTATTCTCAAACATAAAAACTGCAAGAAAATTAACAGTTATGATAATTCTTGAAGAATACTTCTGCAACTAGTATTAAATACCAGAGCCAAGAGACCTAAGTTATCTACTATAAGACTGCATATGATGGAGACATCCAACTTGGATAAACATAGGACACAATGCACTCTAATTTGACATAAAAAAGGTGGATTAAAAATTACAATACAGGTTATAATGAGCTAAGACAATGTTCAGTCATTTATTTTTTCAGGGCTTCTGATATATATATATATACAGAGAGAGAGAGAGAGAGAGAGAGAGAGAGAGAGAGAGAGAGAGAGATGAAATTTGGCATGGATGCTCGGATGCAAAAAAAATAATAATAATGGGCAGTAATCAGAAATGTATCTATGAACAGAAGCTTCTATGTATGCATATAACGAGGTATGGATGGATGTATTGGACTATGAACAATAGATGATGCATGCATGCAATATGGATCACAAAAAGGATACATGTTGAAATGGATGTATAAAAAAATTGATGCTTTCATTTAAGAGCCTGAGATAAAGCTATAAAAGTTCATTGCAATATAACTTGACAGATAGAGATGAATAGCATCTACAAAACATAGATTACAATGGACAACAAAATGGTGAACAACCTATTTTCCAGGACTCGGGTACTTCCTAGACCTCTGCAATCATATTTTATAATGCATTCCAACTAGTAAAAATGGAGTGGTCTGTCAGCTATTGAGCGAACTTAATTGAGGAATTAGAGCAGCATCCCGATTAGCAAATAATTAGAAGAAAAATGCTTAAAAGTGTAGACGTGGAATTACTGTTTTGATCTTTTATATCACTATTAGGTTTTCTGTTTTCAATATATATATATATATATATATTCTTCAGAAATTTCACAGAACAGCTAGACTTCTTATAATCACACAAGGTTTCTTTTATCTATCCAGAAGAAATCTGAGAGGGAAGATAGATTAGGTGATATGCTAAATTTTCACCAAAGAAATAGTTGACAAACCAAAAATGAAAAAACAGAATCAAAGAATGAATACCTTCCACGTATCACCTTTGCAATTTCAGCCCATTTATTCCCATGTTTAATATGGGCTTTCATAAGCTCAATTTCCTCCTCAAGGGTCCAAGAATCTTTCCTAATCTCTGGGTTTAAATGATTGTGCCACCTTTTAAATGTTAAAATTAATTTGTGAGTTGAATCAAGTAAAACAATGGTGGCTAAAAGATGTAAAGCTCAAGAACAGATAGTTTAAGCTTCTAATAAGCATAGACACATGTTGCAGAACTAGGAAATGTTAACAAGCAGGCACAATAACAGAAGGAGCACAGGCAAAAGTATTAGGAATCAAGTATGAAACAGATAAATATGTGTTTAAAACAAGCGTCCTTAACTAAAGGCATTAAGCGTAAAAATATGATTAACATATGGAAGAATACCAAATTTCACAAGAAACCCCAAAAATACCCTAGAAAAAATCCTGAAATTATAATCCCAGGATACTCAAATGAAGATTTGCACTAAAGAAACAGAAAAAAAATTCAAATAAATTTATAATTTGTATTTTAATGGACCATGTAATTTCCATCAGAAATCCAAAGGATATTTGTCTTGTTTTTACATTAGGTCTCTACTACATTGTAATAACCAGTATTAGAAATCCCTCTCAGAATCAGACCAGTCCAACCTAAATGGTTTGCCACTGCCTCGCAATCCTTTTTATTCTCCAATCAGGGCCTCAGGGCATCGAGCAAGAGACCAAATAAATAGGTGAGATGCAAGAGTGGATGATGTAGGGCGTATAGGATCTTTATGGTAAAAATAACAGCTTGATTGATGTCTATTTAGAGTAGTAGTGAAAGAGTTATTTGGGTGATGATAAAATGGGTGGTTAGGGTTTGGACAGATTTAGTGTTGAAGTTTTTAAGCTATTAAAAGGCAAGTTTTCCTTTGTGAGAAATGGGAAAGAACTCCATATTATAGGTTTGAGGAGTTAGAGAACTAATTACGGTATTTTTATGAATGTCAGATCAGTGGTTAAAGAGTTATGATATTTTTAATCCAATTACTCACATTAGAAAATTGTTTCTCTTTATTAGAATTTTGGTTAGAATATCTTAGGATTATTAGATATTTTAGCCCTTGAGAGATTATGAGAGATGTTAGAAAATATTTCAGAGAGTTTTAATTTTCAAAGAGGTTGGATGTGTTTTGGGGTTGAGGGAAGCTATGCTTAGATTATGTAGAAGATATGAGGATTAAGTAGGGAAAGAAGAGAAATAAAGGTGAGAAAAAATAACTAAGAACTCACCAATGCCCTAAGGATCAACTACCAAGTACCACCAAAGTGTAGAGCAGCCATAAAGATTTTCCATACAAAATTTGCATTAAAATTTGTTTTATTTAGTAAATAAAAAATTACAAAGCAATGTCCTATTTATAGATATTTTTTAAGTCTGGACAACTTTAGACAACTTGAGAGCAAAAAAGCATTATTAAATGAATTGATGACTTCTCAAATGCAAAAAGAAGAAAAATAAAAAATAATAATAAATCTTCTAAATACATGACAATTCGGATTGGCCAAATAAGGTAGGTAGAGTTATCCTGAAATCAAATAATATAAATATTTTTGCCTCTGAATGATGCGGCCCACCTACTCATCAAGAGACTTTAAATTAAGCTTTTTTATATTATTCTCTCATAATTTTAAAGAGATTATGGGCCATCCATGAACTTGCATAGAGAGTTATGTATCATAAACATCCCAAATCTTGATGCAAAGCCTTGGTTTATGACTTTGTCCTTGGCCTCTTTGTCTTGGTGATTCATCAAAGAAGTAAGCAAGCAACAAGAAGGCAAAGCAGCACTAGTAATAAAATAAGGAGTGCATGTACTCAATTTGTAGCACTTATGGCATGCCAAGAGAGAAAGGAGAAATGGTGATGTCGACTGCAAATCCATAGATATAGGATGCAACCACTGAGTGCTCAAAGGAAAACTTCTTATAGAAAGTACATGCATTAGTTGGGGGCTATGTTATACATGAATTATTTCTTTCCTCTTCCTTGTTTGTTAAGGTAAACCTAACATAGCCTCATCTTCTTACATATGCATAACTTAGGTGGCATGAGATCATTTGTTGGACCATACTTAGCAATCTTAATAAATATCAAATGAGGAATGAACTTCTAAAAAATGGATTAACAAAATTAACTGAGACATAATGAGATAGTTCATATAGCAGTATAGCACCTCTCTCGGCATTGTTTTCCAATGCGTCCTGGAAGTGATTTGGCTATTACAGACCATTTTGTTGGACCATACTTAGCAACAAGATTTATGATTACATCATCTTCCTGCTTGAACTCTCATGTATTAGACCAAAAAATATTACTAGTCCAAGCCAATTAGAATAAGGGCTAGTGACGAACCAATGGAGTCCAAGAACCTTTAACAAGTTCGGGATTGATAACCTTTTGCCACCTGTGGAGACACTGCACTTCTGTCCTATCGGGAATGGATTCAGCTACATAACAAGGAATACAAAAATCAAAACAAATTTGTTCTAATAACATGCACGACATGAAAATAAGCATGAAAGGGCTAAGGAACTTCTAGATTCTAAGAAAAACAAGTGAACAGTTGTGATAAGAGCTTTAAATTATTACTCACATAATTGTTAATTAGCAACCATTCAAGTTACATATAGGATACTGCTAGAGATAATGTCAAATTGCTTTAAGGATAAATATACGACTTCATAAAAATATATCCACAATAATATAAGGTGCTCCACATTGGACATCCTCAAAGGATATAAAGCACATGCTGCAAATTGTTCACAACCCTTTTTCAAGAAAAATAACACAAATACAGAAAAGAGAAGTTTTGTTGTTTGATCACAGGAATGGCAGAGCAGGGGATGTCATATATCAATTTTTATCCTTCACATCCCCCAGGACTAAACTGTTAAAACATGCCTTTGTCCATGGATGATAATTTTCATAGCCAATGAATACATTTGTTATGTCGAATTTTTAGAAAGGGAAAAAGGCCGAAAAAATCTCTGACTATTGATATGTTGCCAATTTAGCTCTAGGGTAACACATTTCTTGAATTTAGTCCCTCGACTATATAAAACTAATCCCAAATGATCTCCAAGGTATAAATTGAGGGAAATTGAGATTTTAAATTAATTTCAATTTAGTTCCTCAATTATACAAAAGCAATCCCAATTTAGTCCCTGAGCAAGCATTTGGAATTAATCTATGTATAGTTGAGAGACTAAAATGGAGAAATATGATATTCTTGGAGTAAATTGACTACATATGAAAACTCTGGCTATTTTGAACTTTTTCCTTTTCTAGAAACTAATTCTACACATTAAAAAACTAAAAAAATACACTTAGTTTATGAAACTTAAAAATAAAACTTCATGCTTGAACTGAGTCTTTGAGGCCAATCTCAGATATGGATCTTTCTTTATAATCCTGCTTCCAATGTTTTTTATTAAAAAAACCTATTATATATTATATGCATAAGTGTTCTCAGCTATGAAACATCTTGATGCAAAGTTGTAGGTCCATAGTTTTGTTTACCCTACATTGACTTTTGTCTACTTATTTGCAGGTATTTGTGGCTAGTAGTTGCAGGAGCTAGAGCTCACAGCTACAAGATTTACCAAGAGCTAGAGCTTGCCAAGAACTGGAGCTTGCCACGATTTGGATAGTTGTTTCTAAGTTTTTAGAGTTTTTTTGATTTAGTGTTTGAGAATTTTGTAGTTTGTTAGGAGTTTTAGTGTTTGAGTTTGGTGTTTAGTTTGTGTGCGTTGTACCAAGATTTGTATAGTGCAAATGCTGATTTTATTTCATTTTTATGGTTATTTAATTTATGAATTAATTAGATGTATTTTAAATGGGTTAATAAATTTAATTAATTAAATTAGGTTTCAAATTATTAATTAAATTTTCAATTTATTTTAAATTATATTTTTATTCTGAATTGGTTTTTAAATGCTCCATTAATTAGATTTTAGTATTATTTTTTTAAATTATTAATTAATAAAATGGATTTTTATTTTAATTACATTTTTTATTGATTTTATTTGAAATTAACCATTTAATTATGAGAAATTAATTTTTTATCTACAGTTATTGGTTAATTATTTAAGGGAATATAAAAATTAAAAGTTATTCAATTGATTTATTAATTACGAGATTTTAATTTAATTGATTTTAAGATTAATAGAATTTTCCAATTACTCTCCTATAATTCCTGGAAATTCGACAATCTCCTAAGACAAATTTGGCAGCTTCCCGGGGCAATTTTGGTAGCCTTGGCATCCTCTTCCTGAAAGGGGAGGTTGAGGAACACACTTGCCCTTTTAGGTCCACTTGGTCAGATCAAATAAGCGGCTGAGGTCTTTGGGGAGAAAATCAACCCCATTATTGGTCTACAAGCACTTGTTTGTAATTTGTCATTTATTCACAACATTTCGGCAACCTTATAGCACCCCCTCCCTACGAGGGGAGGTTAGGGAGGGCACTCCCTCTTTAGGTCCGCTCGGCCAGATCAAATCCACGACCAAGGGCTTCGAGAGAAAGAATTCAATCTTGAAATACGGCTCTTTTTACTCGTCCGATTTGGCGATTATAGCCTCCAATTTAACGATCGCAGCATCTGCTTTTCCTTAATATTAATTATTATTATTATTAATTATAATATTTATTATTATTACTAATATTTTATTAATAATAAAGGTAATTATACAATAAATCCATCTTATTCCTTACTCTTTCAAACAAGAGAATAAATTGAGAGTATTTGGCTAATGTGTGTGCGGCTCAGGAGCAAGAATCGAACAGAGGGAGGTCGGATTGAACTGTTTGTTGTCGTGCGAATATATAGGGAGGCAGATCAGGCTGTTCACATGTGGATCAAGCGGATTTCTATACTTGTTCGCATGAGGGTTTGAAGGCACAGTATGGACGAGGGAGGAGGTCGGGTCGAGCGCTAGGTTGATGTGTGGCAATGGGAGGAGGTTGGGTAGAGCGCGACCCCCGTGCCTGCGTATAAGGAAGACGAGAGAGGGAAACCAGGGATCCCATTCGTGCGTGAGAAGTTATATGGGAGGTGCGACTCTGTTCAATCTTGAGTGCGACACGAAAGGAATAGGGGGCTTCAGCTTTTTGTGAAACTAGGAGATCGGGGGGCAGGGTTTGAATGCCTGTGTGTTTCATTCATTGACATGTGAAGGAGTTTTGTGTCATGAGAGTGGTGGTTGTGAGATCGTTGGATCATGCGTGAGGGGGAGCCGACCGGGCTTAGCGTGGGTCGGATCAATCAATAAGCGGTCAATAGAAAGTTTATGTTTAGGCTATTCATTAATAAGTGTTTCACAATGTATATTCATAATATATTGATTTATATCTCAATCACGATTGAATATCTTGATCATTTGCATCAAGTATTAATGTATTATATGAGTTAAGAGAATAAGTAGTATATTAATCTTAAAAAGTGTGTGTTTATATAAGTCAACGGTCATATTTCTTTGCTTTGTGTTATCTTCTAATGGTTTTGAAATATATTTCTCAAAAAATTAAAGTAAACCTTGATTGACTAGCTCCCATTTTCTATCTCTAATGTTCAAAGCTTTCATGGATTAGCTATATTTTATAAATGATTAATTTAACCTCCACTTCGACAATTTGTTCAAAAAAAAAAAACAAGCTTAGTAGGACACCTACTATCAAAGCCTTTAAATAGATAAAGATGTTGTGATTGCAACATCAATTATGAAACTTCCTTATTTTGGAAAAAATTTTGAGATATATTGTGATGTCTCTTGTGTTGGTATAAGTGTGTTCTTAGCAAAGAAAATCACCCAACTGCTTACTTCTGTGAAAAATTGAATAATGTTAAACAAAGTTATTTTACTTATATTTGAGAATTTTATGTTGTCATTCAAACATTAAAATATTGACGACATTTATTTGCGACTAATGAAATTTATTCTCATTTTTTATGACTAGGCCTTAAAATATATAAATACTCAATTAAAGTTGAGCGATAGAAATGTAAAGTGGATTGAAAAACTTCAGGATTATGCATTTGTTTTGAAACATACACCTAGCATTCAAAATAAATTAATGAATACGCTTATCACGCATTTCATCACTCTCAAACTTTATTAATGTGCTTGGTTTTGACGAAATACTAGATGAGTATGTGTATGGCTTGACTTCCACTTAATTTATCAAAATCACAAGGATATATCATATGTTTATTCTATTATTTTTATTCTTTGAGATGGATATACCCAAATGCTATGTGCAAACTAGATATATGAATCTGCATGCAATGAGGGCCAATTGTCCTTTCAAAATTAGAGGGGAATTTAATTATAATGCTTAAGTTCAACTTTACCTCTTAATATGTTTAATATTTATATTTCAACGTTAAAGGTATGCTGCCTTAAACTACGATAATTACTTATTAATTATTCAACATAAGAGGTTTCTATCACAATTGTTGTTCTTTAGATTCCATCATTCCACTTCCCCGTGCCTAATGGGATGTTGAAGTATCATTTTACAGTAAGTAATACCTAGGGAAAAAGGTTAAGCACATATTTTTAGTCAAGTGGAAAGGCAGACCTCCATTAGATAATACATGGATGATCAAAGATGAGCTGCAACTTATGATGCACCGACACGGCACTTAAAGAGGGTATGCAATGTCGGACACACGTTGGACACGGCATGGACACGTGTCCGACACGGCATTGGAGTGTCGCAATTAAAAAAAATAAAATTAAAATCGGACACGCGTGTCCGGTCATTAAATGAGGTATCGCTAGGTACATGCTCGGTACCGCTAGGTACATGCTCGGTACCGCTCAGTACATGCTCGGTACTGCTTAGTATATGCTCGGTACTGCTTAGTATATTCTCGGTACCGCTCAGTACATACTCGGTACTGCTCAGTACATGCTCGGTACCGCTCAATATATGCTCGGTACCGCTTGGTACATGCTCGGTACTGCTATGTACATGCTCGATACCGTTCAGTACCGCTAGGTATATGCTCGGTACTGCTAGGTATATGCTCGGTACTGCTAGGTACATGCTCGGTACCACTCGGTATCTTCCCATACAAACAACTTATGAACTTTAAAAACAAGCAGAACTTCAAAATTACTCTTACAATAAAATTTTGTTTAGGTCAAACCCCGCCAGGGGGCAGCGCCCCCTTGGACCCCCGGCAGACTGGTATATTGTTGTATTCATGTTGTCTTATTATTGGAATATTTTGATTTCACTTTATATCAATTTAATTTGGTGTATTCATATGTATGATTGGTTTGTTAGCAAAATGAGTTTTGCTACTGGCGGGGGTGGATTAGGTGAAGGTTCAAAAGAGCCATCTGTCCACGCCGTGTCCGTGTCCTATATTTTTAAAAATTGTCGTGTCCGTGTCGTGTCGCCGTGTCCGTGCATCATAGGCTGCAACTCTTGGATCAGTACATTGACCCTAACTCTCTAGAGAAGACTTCTTTGCACCCCCAGGGGAGTTTATAAAGAACAAATCTTCAAACAAGCCAAATCAATTCACAAAAGCCCAAGTGGCCATAATGCAATTATAACAAGTCAAATCATGTCATAACAAATCTAAATAGTCTATTTTCAATCTTTTTGAGGCTCATTTTTTAACTATGGCTAAATTTCTCTCTTTTTTAATTTACTTTATTTTATTATGTTTTATCTTGCTCTTGGATAAGAATAGCTTTAAATTTAAAATTTTTTGGGTTTAGATAGTATATGACTTGTATTTAAGATTTGGCCTTATAAATGTAACCCCATTTCTAAAATTACAAATCCATGATGCGCATTTGGATTATTGATTGATGATTGAATATTTGAAATTATTTGTGACCAAATTAGTGCTTTCTAGATCCAAATTGTGCATGTAAAGTTTTCTTCTTCCTCCTCCATCAATGGCCTCATCTCTTGCCCTTTCCTTGCTTCCAAGGATAGGATTTCTTCACCAATCCAATAATTGGACCCAAGTTAAATTCAACCATTCCTACTAGATTTTAGCTTTAAATTTCTAAAGTTGATCCTATAGATTAGCTTGTAATCCCATATGCTTTTCATGCATCATGCTTGGAAAAACAAAAATCTTAAGCCCATGAATTCTTTAACTACTTAATCCGATTTCATAAACTTCGATGCTAGATAAGATTTGCTTGAGTGCTCTGATTAAAGGTCTTGATACCATAGTGCACCTCTTAAGTCGGTTCCACCAGAACCGACTCAACCGGCCCAGCATGGGCCGGTTCAAGTTTATAAGAGGCCGCAATTGCCGCCTCTCCCCTAGCCGACTAGAGCCCTGGGGTGCACAGCCTTGCCGCCTAATGCTTTTTATTTAAAATAAGATATTTTTGGTAAGGGAGGGAGCTGGTTAAGGCTATATAATAGGGATGAGAGTGAAGGGCTAGGGCATGCAAAAATTTGAGTTATTCTCTTGGAGTTTATTAGGGAATGGGCTCTAGATTCATCATCTAGAGGTTGGGAGAGAACGATCCTCCTCTCAAATTGAGGATCAATTGTATATTTGCTTTCCTTTTGTTTCCTTCGATTTCCTTAATAAAATTCTACTGTTTTTTTTTTTTTTTCTCCGATGATTTTACCAATATTCGTTAGGGTTGCTTGCAAACTGAAGCAAACCCGATAGGATTGCTTGCGAACTCAAGTATTTCTTATAAGCATCACATCAGCATGTTATGAGGATCCTCCATGCCCACCCACAACCATGAAACCAAAAGCAGAATTCTTTGTTTCTGCATACATTGTGCTTACAAGTCAGCAGCCTGGAATGCCTTGGCATCAATTAACATCATACTTTAATAAAATGGATTTAAAGTTTGATAGATAACAATTCTATCTTTGTTTCTACAGACGTTGTACTTAGATAACAATTCATGTAAAGTTTGCTAGTGAATTAATAGACAACTAAAAGACAAAGGCTAGCAAAAACCTATTTTCTTCCAACTTCTTCCCTTGTGTAATTCAACAGCACGCCTAAGAGTTTCATCCTGCGGCAGTTTATCAAATATATTAGGGAAACTATGAAAAAAAAACATATAGCTCAGAGAAACATGATTCATAATTTACGAGCAGAATTACAGATATATAGTCCAGACACGCTAGTTTATCTCAAATAAATAAAAAATCACAAGAAACGAATGCAAGCATAGCATGAAAAAGAGGCATCTAAGATTCAAAAAGCACAACAAGACAACTAATTCTAGAGAGTAAGTCTTTTGAAGGGAAAGCTCCTCCAGACCTAGAAATCCCATAACTAGAATATGAGACAGTCATGCTTCTACAAGAAATAGAAAACAGTGCTTTAATTTCAACGAAATGAAGCAATTAAGATGTCATAATTGTGCAGATAGTGCAAAGCTCACAAGATTGCAAGGAAAAAGAAAATACAATGAAGATTTACGAATAGCAAGACATGCTCACCTCCTCTGGTGTCCAACCACCTTTTGCTCGCCGTATAGGACCACTAGTTCTCCTGCAATTGAGAAACAATGCGTTAAATAGCAACATCTATATAAGAATGCCCCAATTGTGAAAATGTTAAAACAGAGTAAGGCTTCGTTTGGGACGGCTTTTTTATTGCTTCTTAAAGCTGTTTTTTAGTAAAAAATAAAAAACTATGTACTAAAAAGCTGTTTTAAGAAGCAATAAAAAAGCCGTCCCAAACAAAGCCTAAGTTTGCAAGCAATAAAGAGGCATATGTCATGATAAAGCAAATTGGGGCAAGAAACGGAATCAAATGATTCCTTAACAATCTGAGTAACACAATTAAACATAGGAAAAGTAACAATATCCATATACAAATCACGAATCATCACCAGATGTTATTAATGTCAACCAAAGGAATCGGAAGCCTAGCAGATTTTCCCATTTAACTCAAAAATCACGCTGAAAACAATTTTCCAAACAAATAGATACATATGCAAATAAGCTGATAAATATAATGATGCTCGAGTTAAAATAAGCTTAAAGGTTCACTGACAAAAAAAATAAATATCAAATGCATCTTATTTTAGTACTTCTTTTCTTCAACCCCAAAAAGCTCAGGGCAATAATAGGTTGGAAGGTAGTTGTAGACTGGATAAAACAATTGCAACTAGAGTAGTAGTTCTTTTTTAGCCGTTACTTTCAGATGTAATATACAAAATCTCTCATCATAACAATATACTTTTGAGCTCGCTTTTTCTGAATATTATTATTTATGTAATAAAAAATAATATTATTATTAACAATACTAATTATATTTAAATTTATAATATTCATTTAAAAATTAATTAATTAAAAATGTATTAATCCTTAACAACTCATGTTAGGTGTCATTTGATGATTCCCCACAAGTATCGTTCGATAATTCATTCACACGCTGACTTAAGCATCTATGAAAGAGTGAGAGAAGGGTGGAGGAGAATGATATAGACAGAGTGAGCCGAAGGGAATGCAAGAAGGCGAGTAGCTAGGATATGAGAGTGAGTACTAGTGGGAGCAAGCATAGGGCTGAGGCATGCACAAGCGCAAGAGTGAGAGCAAGACCCAGCGCGAGAAGTGGAGCGGCACAAATGCATGAGCGAGACTAGCTAAGCAGCCGATCAATCGGGTAATTTTTTACAATGCCGTCAAAAGATAATTTTGATGCTGAAAAGCTTGAAATTTCTTCCTCAAGATAAGAGGTAAGTTACCATTCACAATATATGTTTCCTAAATCAAATATTTGAGCTTCTAGGACTTCCTAGGTTTCTATAGTAGGAAGAAGAAGAAAGATATACCATTTTAGAAAAAAAAAATATTTTGAAGTTCAACATTTTTATTATGAGAAATAAAGTATTTATGATTTAATGGATACTTTTCAATAATAATTTTAGGAATATTAAATTTAATTTCATGATATATTACTAATTAAAAGATTGTAATTTTAAATGTAATAATATATAAATATATATTACTAATTAAAAGATTGTAATTTTAAATGTAATAATATATAAATAATAAATTTGAATTAAATTAAAAATATTACGGAGCAAGAATTATGTTAATTGAAAGGCTGATACATATTATTTCATAGCAACAAGGATGAATCATGTGTTAGAAATCAATCACAGCTATACTCTCTTCCAATTCAAAAAAGGTGGTAATAAGAGCAAGGAAATTGTAGGTGAGCTCCACTAAAGCTGTCTCATCCAAGTTATTAGTTAACAAGCAAAGATTATCGAGCCATAGTCTACAAGGATGTCATTTGGACGATGCAAGAGGAAACTAAGGTTGAGAGGTGTGAACCACGAAGAATCATGCTCGGAATGAAAACCTAACAAGACAATTGTCAGCAAAAAGACTCACATAGCAAATATTCTAACTGACGAGGCATGCAATTTTTAATTTTCTGTAACTCCCATATACACAAAGATTTTTATAACATTCAACTTGGTAAGTAACCGTTAAAGTGTAAATCATATATTTACTTTAAGAAACTGTTTAGTTATAGAAAAGCAGATGCTAAGTAAAAAAAAATATTGCAGGGTTATCATGGCCAAATTACTTACAGTCGTTTTGAACTAGCTTTTTGAAGAAAGTAAACTACAACTTAGTTTGATATAATAAATAAAACTATTTTACATCAATTAAATACCAAAAAAAATTCTTAGCACTTTACTGTGCACCATATTTGTAGCCCTCCAAAGGGTTAAACCAATAAAGTTTCTCCAGGACCTTCACCAAGCTAATTTCTTCTCTCAAAAATTAATATCATCGAACCAGTAGTTCAATGGCAATCAACATTTCGATAATTAGTATCCAACAGATCACCTCATAAGTATCACCCACAGTGAATGAAGAACTGCCAACTCGAGAAGTAGAAAATAGCTTTAAAACAGAAATAACCTAATTGAATTCAAGCAGATAAACATTTACCTATGGGACGGAGTAGAAGTTGCAGGATAAGAAGCAGCCGGGGACATCCTGGAGAAGCCATAGTTCTCCTCCGAGAGCGACGAACCCGATGCAGTAATAGACTGCTTGTTCTCTGCGCAGCTTTCCTTTATCTTCATAGTAGTCATGAGTCCAACTAGTCACATCCATATGCTAAAAAACCGGATCTTTAATATCGCCCAAACTAAACAGTTCGCAAAAGGCAACAAAGAACCACAATTCCTGAAGCAAACGATTCCAAACCAGCACGATAGCAACACATATAACCAGAAGACGTGGAATTCTCAAAGCTAGAGCTTTGATCAGAATCCGTAAAAATGAAAAGTAAAAAAAAAAAAACGATCAAGCCGCGGTTTTCGCCTTCGGTGGAGATTCGAATAACATGGACCACTATAACGGAAAACCCTGAGATTTAGCAATCAATAAACTGAATACCTGCGGTAGGGTAAACAAGGCTGGAGATCTACGAGAGGTTCGAAACCCTCTAATTCAAGAAAGCTATCGCTGAAGTCGGGACTTTTCAAAAAAAAAAAACAAACCAAACCAAAACCATCAGCCCGTTTGAAGGGGAAGGGTAGAGAGGAGGGAAATAAAATATATTATTTCCAGGCGAGCGAAGGCAACACGTAACGGCACACGACGGAGCCGTTGGCCTTCTCTAGATTCTGTAACGGCTACTAACGTCTCCGTTTGCCTTGCTGAGCTAGTTTAAAACCTCAAACGGTACCCTTTTTATGGACTAAGCCGTCGATTTTTCCCGGGTTTATTTTGGCCGTCCGATCGTTATGAAGGGTTTTAAGTTCGCTGGTTACGAGCCCCCACAGAGACATTTTAACTAACCGGTGGATGTGACATGGACGAACGGATCAACGGCTATAATTTTTAGATGAACTTTGGTATTCAATGTGACATGTCGGTTGTTTAAAGAAAACAGATCTCACTAGTTGTAACTAGCCATATGAATAGTACTAAGAAGATGACTCTTCATTTATATTAGACTTAAACAATTAGTCACTACTAATATAGATATAATTCTCCAATAAAGACCAGCTTAACACCATAATTACCTTCATTTCTAGCTATAAAAGCTCCTCTCCAAGATCCCCTAATGTTTTAGTTCATTTATCATGTAATGATCCTAGCTTTTCATATATTTTTCTTTTCATTTTTGTAAATGTATTTCTAAATGTAAAGCTTTTGGATTGGACTTATGATTTTGTAATATAATAGATTTTTTTTCAGTAAAATAAAATGCTTCTATGAAAAATAATGAAGAAGAAAATTTGTTTGCTTTTGTAGCGTAGAAATTGATATGTAGGATAGATCAAATTTAGACATTGTTGAACTGGTTTAATAGTCAATTTTATTTTCTTTCTACTGGTCATTATAGTCTCTTGTTACCTAATTATCCAACACTAAGTTTTTCAATAAAAAAATATTTGATTGGGTATATCATGTCAATTTCTATCAAATTTGTTTCAAATTAAAATACAAAATTTAGGATCAACTTGAATAACAGTCGAGCGAAAAGTTGAGTCATATCAAGACATTGGCAATCTAGTATGTGAACTTACAAACTAGTATGTAAACTTACTAAGGGACCCATTTTGGTAAATTAGGAGTCAACTTGAATCAATTTAATCAAATAGTGTCAAGGGGACCCATTTTGGTGTCTAAGTTAACTAAGGACTAGATACTTATAAATGGGTTCATGATGATCCGCCTAGGATTTAGGGAGTGAGATAAAGGTCTAGCAAGTTAGGCTATGATGCCCCAAGATCTAACGAAAGAATTGAATGTCTAAACTTAGATTTCTCAATCATAATATAATATATCAAAGTCGCCTAAATAATTAAAAATAATTTAAATAACTAGGAAACATTCAAAATTTTATTTCCCAAAAGAATGATTCACAAATAGCCCAATACAAGTATGTTCTACATATCAGAATAAAAATGGGATTACAAAATACCTCAATAGAAAATTTCATTCAACTTGTTTCCTTCGGCTTCACTTAGTCGGCTTCTTTCCTTCCCTGGAATATTAAAACATTAATAAAATGAGTATTTTGACTCAATAGGCATACTCAAATCCTATTACAAAATTCAATGCCAATATTTTGAAATTTATAAATAGAAGCTTTAAATATTAAGCATAAGAAAATAATGATTACTTTTTCAAAGACATGTCAGGATTTAAAAGTCATTGATTGCCAGAACAGAATATATACTTCCATGTCATACTTTTCACAGAAGCATCAGAATATATTTGTACATAAATAACATAATGTTCATCTCAACAAAATATTTCATGTATTTAAATTTATTTCATTTAATAGAATATTCATTGTATTTACTTAGTTTATTGAACAAATTCTGCAGCAAATGAATCATTATAAGCAAGCCCCGATGTCCACTTAGAACTCCACTTCTGCTCAAGCCTCTCACAGTGAAAGAGACCCTCCTAAATGCTCTTATAACTCTACTTTCACAGTGAAAGAGACCCTCCTAAATGCTCTTATATACTTGCATAAAAGCAAATGAGTCTAGAAATAGTTTCCCATATCTGAATAATACATATGGGGTTAGAATAAAAAATAGAACAAAAAGCTTTGCTCACATAATAGAATTTATAGTGCACTTTATCAGTTTCTTACATCTTTGGAAGCCTGCCTCAAGTAGGACAAATCTCCTAACTTCCCAACAAAAGAATCTCATTATGCAACTTTCGAACTTTTCGCCTTCTCTTGTTATCTCCTCTTCTCCTCCTATATTTCTCCTTTTCTTCTCTTGCAAGGGGCTAAGGGTATAGAGTGTAATGAAATAGATTTAGATATTTTATATATATAAACCCATCACCATAATACTCCCTCATTCTCACCACAATATAGAGAGAACAACATTACCACTATCAATGCCACAATGCTCCTCATAGCACTTGACCTCCTATTTTCTCTCTCTTATGTTTCATTTATAAACTTATTTCAGCTTAAATTAATGTTATAAAATTTAGTATTTCATAATGGAATCAAAACAAATTGAAATTCATACCAAGTAGGTCAAGTTGACATGAGCCGCAAAGGAGAAAGACTAAATGAATTGACTCATAAAAGGAGCATAGACTTATATTTTCCAAACCAATAAGAGGGAAAATATGTAATTTGAGAAGGGGGGCATAGACTAATTTTAGGTCAACAAACTTTACAATGATACTGAAAGAGAATAGATATCATAAAGATATAACCTTTAGATAAGGAATGCTTTCTACCTCAACCAATGTGAAATTATAAAATCATGGCATTAAGTCTTAATGTGATTCAAAGGGTCTACTCTAATGTAAAGATAAAAATATGATTCTAAATTTACATATTTACACAATTTAACGTTATGTAGCATGGATGTGCTTGATTTGCAATTATCAACTAATTCCATGATTTGTTTGTTTAGCAAGTAAGAAAAATGTGCAAGAGATATCATAGAAACTCACCCTATTGACCTTATATCCTACTCTCCCAAGGCTTCGGCTCAAAGTAAATTCAAATATATACATTAAAGGGGTTACTCCATCAAACCTTAGTAATATAATATTTATTATAATAAATGAAAGCATAATATTAATTATATGAGCAATTAATAAGTGCTATAGGGGAGATTTATAAGGAAAGAATAATCCAAAATGGTGCATATGTGGGCAAGTGTTTATGTATATGTGCATGATGGGCATGCTACAATAGTGTGTTCTACACATTTTGAGTTTTTGGATGAGAGAATCTATAATAAAAGGTCAATTTATATTCTTAATTGGTCTCTATATATATATATTATTGATATGATCAAAACTGTATATTTTATTTGATTTTTAGAAAAAAGAAATATATGTATATTCTAAGTCTTATAGCTTTTAAAAATTTTAGATGAACAAAATATATTTAATTTTTGGGACTTAGGTCTTCTATGATTTAGTTGAACAAACTTAACAATGATATTAAAAGAGAAAAGATATCATAAAGACAAATACTTTGAATAAGGAATGCTTTCTACCACAAGCTATGTAGAATTATAAAATCATGGCATTAAGTCTCAATATAATGCAAAAATAGGTAGGGAGAACAACTGATCTCATAATTATATATATACTTGAGGGTATACTATATAATGTAAAGATAAAATATAATTCTAATTTTAGATATTTACATAATGCTCTATCGGTAGGTGATAAATACAATAACAAATCAAATTTTCACAATCTATGAATTTCATCAAATTACTAGAGATTATTCATAACACTATTTTAAACTTTAATTATAATACAATATTATTTTTTAGATCAGAATTATTTTCTATTTCGTCAAAAATAGCATACTTTTCAGTTTACCCGGCGGAAATATTCCACAAAAATACATAAATGGTCAGAATGATTGTATCTACAACATACATAAAGTTTTACGGAGAACATTTAACGGATGTGAAATTATGCATGTTTTTTATGCTACAAGTTTATAAATTAAATTAGAAAAGTCCTAAAATCTTCATATTTTTAAAAACTAATATAGGCAAAATATAACTTACAATGATCCAGGCAACTTTCGGGATTGGACGGACAATATAAAATAATATGGAGTCTCCAAAAATAGACTTCTCTCTTTAAAATCCTCTTATGTTCTCTCTGTAGACCCTCAAATTATTTTTTCAAAGTGGATTTTGAAGTTTTGATTAAAATTTTGCCTAGCGTCGTTGTGCTCCATATAATGGAGTCGCAACACTCCCAACATAGAGCATGGTTCCACAACGCCTGACGTAGCACCGTAGTGTTCACCAAAATCCCCAAAAAGAAAGAGAGCTCAATGCCATAGCATCATCTACTCTAGCGTCGCGGCGCTCTCAAGAGAAAATTTTGAGATTTTCTATCGATGCACACAAATCCCCAGAACCAACTTTAGAACATATTCAGACATCCACTTACATGTAAAAATATTCACAGACATGGGCGGAACCATGTAGATCTTAGGGGGGGCAATTGCCCCCTCTCAAAAAAAAAAAAATTATAGGAGTAAAAACAATTTTTTTTATATATAGGAGAATAAAAAAAAAGTTTTGCCCCTCCTAAAAAATTACTTTTGCCCCCCCTAAAAAATTTTTTTGTCCTAACTTGCCCTAAAATATCTATATATTTCTTCACATTTAGCTCTAATATTTTTTTTCATGCTTTTCATGATAGTTTAATTACACATTTTTTTCTATATTTTTCTTGTTTAATTTTTTTAAAAAAAGCTTTTCGTAATATATAGATATATAATATTATTTTTTTAATATTTAATTATTTTTGTGATGTATTTGCCCCCCCTCAAAATTGAGGCTGGTTCCGCCCCTGTTCACAGACGCATGTAAACAGAATTGTAGAAATTTTATTACATTATTCTTACTTGACTAGGTTAGAACAAATACAACTGCACATTGCTTCAATGTGTATTACAGTGTGGATACTATACATCAGTCTTGTAAGTGTGTTTGATATGTTTGTCGATGATGCATGATGAAGTCAATGATGATAGTTAAGCGATTGTGGTTAAACAATGGTGGTCTGTCGATGAAAATTATGACACTATTGTCGAGTGAAAACGTACTAGCTACAATGGTCAATGAGTTATGGCAAACAAGCGATGAAGAGCAGGCAATGGCGATCAAGTGATTACTAATGGGCAATGACGGTCTAGAAATGGCATATAGGTGATGCAACTAGGTAATAGTCATTATTTTCAATTAGCACTGACATCGAACATTGGTTGCAATTTTATAACTCTTTAGCTATCTAATCTTTCTTCAATTTCAAGTCATGAATAAAACTTTTTTATATGAAAGATGGGGGGTCTATCTATAGTTTTCTGAAGTAGCCTTTTAGTAATTTTATTCAAAATCCCCATAGCACTCCATCGAACAGCACATATTAATGTCTTTGATTATAAACTATTTTTTTAGCATTTAAGTGTCTTAGTGACATCAGAAATAAGTAATTTTAAGCTTAATTATTAGGTTTCTTTCATCAAGATACTCATTTGAGCTATAAACATGTGATATTCAGAGAAGATTTAATCCTCAATTAATTTCACAAAGTTTCTAATTAAAACTTCTAAGTGGTTCAGTTGATCTTATTTTGTCATGTGATGAAAGTTGAAACATTTTTTTGGTCATTGGGTTTGTCTCATTGAAATATTCAATTTGACTATATGTTTGCTAAATTTCAATTTTTGAATAATTATGAATTTAATTTTTATGAATTTTTACTTTAAGCATTACATCTAGATTCATGCATGAACAATGAATTTTAAGCAGGAAGACAATATAAATGTGAATGACTTAGAAAGACCAATCCAACTTTAAGTTAGTTTTTTATCAGGACTAAGCAAATTTGATTTATTAAATTAACTAACTAATAAGCTACGCTTTGCTTAAATATAGTATGGATTGAATCAAATCTCCTAAGAATCAAACTAATTCTATGATTGCTTAAGATTGAAATTACATAAATACACGCAGTGCAAATTTGAACAAACAAAGCAATGTCTAACATGATGGAGTATGGAGAAGTGATTTGGATTGGAATTTCCTCTTCATTAATTTTCTAGATGTTTGGTATAGTTGTAAGATATTGTAATAAACCCACAATGTGTTGATATTATTTCGGTTTGGAGTAAGGTTTCTTTGTTGATCCAGAGACTTAAAGCTTCGTTGGAGCTTGTTGATGTAGCTTTATTAGCAACTAGCTACTGAATAGTATTCTCATCATTTTCGGTGAGGCACCTTGCCATGATGGTAGAAGAAGAACGATGGGTCTATGATGCTAGCTTAAAAGCCGAATTGCTGTAGACATTCAGAAAAAGTACAAAACTATTGTCTTGGAGATTGTTTGAGTCAATATATGACCTTTTTTAAGGAGAGAAATACGATTAGTTTGTTGTAATCTCGGAGGTTGAGACATGTAAATGACATTATCAAATATTCCATGAAGGCGTTCAAATAATACATAGTTTCACTGTCATTGGAGCTCGGCGAGAATATAAATTTAATAGTACAAAAGAGCATGAACTAAATGAGTGAAGAAGTAAGCAATCGTTAAATGCTTTTCTTACGCGGCGAACTTGCAATTACCATGGCCTGCCAAATAGAAAAAATCATAATAATTATTATTAATAATAACAATAAGAATTAAAATAATAGAATAATGAGAATATTGAAGGGCAACTTACTGGGATCGGACGTAGTAATTATGCCCGTCTGATTGAAATTACAATTGAAGTATATATATATATATATATATATATATATATATATATTACCATGACCTTGCCTCCGCCGAGGAGAACGCCGGAGTCGTACACCGGTGTAAAATCAGGCTGGAAGAGGCCCCAATTTCGTTCGGCAATCGGCCCAGGCTTCAAATTCTCGTTGAAAAGCGCGAATATATAAGTCTCAAATTTGCGATTCGGAATCAACGGCGTCCCTTTCCCGGAATTCACATGCTGGATCAGATTCGTAACATAAGACGCAGCGGCAGCGGGATCGACCCCTGCCTGCCCTGGTTCAGCCGCAGTCGGCCATCCGGTCTCCCCGATCGCAATCTCCACATCGCCGTACCCTAACTGATTCATGGCGGAGAACACTGCATCCATTTGTGCATCGAACATATTCGTATAAGTAATCTGCGTTGCCGGATCGTATACTCCCTGATTCGGCTTGAAAAGCGCGTAATTAAGAGTCTCATCTGTGTAGCCGAAGTAGGGATAAGGATTGAAGAGGAAGGGGGTTTTTGTGCGGCGGTGGAAATCGAGCATCGGGGAGAAGATGGCGCGGTCGTAAACAGAGCGAAAGCGGCCGGCGGAAGGGGGTTGAGAGGCGGCGAGGATGCCGAGGGAGTGAGGTGTCGAGACGCGAATAGAGGGGAATCCGGCTGCTGTTAGGGCGGAAAAGAGGGATCGCATTGCAGGGACGAGGTGAACGATTAGGTTTCTGTCGCCGGTGGCCAAGATCTCGTTTCCGACCGCGATAAGGGAGATGTTCGTGGCGGGATAGAAGGGGGAAACGTTGGCGGCAACCCAGGCGGTGGCGCTGGGGAGGCGAGAGAGGGAGGGGATGTCGCCATTGGGGACGGTGATAACGAGGGGGATGCCGGAGCCGGCGAAGGCCCGGAGGATGTCCGGATTGCAGTCGAAGATCTTCACCCGGTCGATCGTTGTCCGAGATTTAATGAACGATGCGACTTCAGCTGGAGGCGGGAGGTTGTTGCCTAAGGTTCCATAGTTTATACCGATGGAGAGGATGGCGGTAGGGAAGAAGAGAAAGACGAGATGAAGGAGGAGAAGGAGGGTGGGAATGGATGGCCGGTAAGAAGTGGGAAGTGAAATTCCGGCCATGTTGGAAGGTGAGGCGGAAGGTTTCATGGCGAAGGATTTAAAAGGGATTTATTTCGAGCTGTTATTTATGAGTTCTTTAGTTTGACTGGTTACTATTTTTTTGTTAGCGATTTTGTCGTGCCGGACGAGGAATCGGAATGTCGTGTTAATTCCGTTAGTTCTGCATTGATTTTTTTCTCTTCTCGGAAATGTTTGATTGATCCATTCTCAGTTCGGATTGTCTAATATGAGAGTGTTTTTCTTCTATACTACAATGAGACAGTTTTCCGATATTTTCTCACGTAGAAGAATATTTATGATTCAAAATTTTTAGTACAGAACATAATAAACCTTTTTTGCAACAGGCATCAACATCGTTGCAGAGAACATAATATTGCTGTTGCTGAGCAGTCACGATGGCGAAGGCCGAAGAGAAAAACTGAACAACTCCATATGTGAAAATTGGAGCAGCTCGAAGCATTTGCGGATTAGCCTTTTTTTTTAGTAAATTATTGTGATAAATATTAAAAAATTAAGTAGTTTATAAATATAAATTATAGTTTTAAATTTAATTTAAAATATTAGTCGCGCCTAAATATATTATAATTTAAAGATAAGATTTTTAATTAAAAAATATATATATGTGATTTTATTTTATAATATTTTGAGAGAAATATATATTTTTATTTGAAAAAAAATTAAAATTAATCTGATGCTGCCACGTTGCAAGTTGCATGTTCCACCTGACAGAGTGAGAAGGACTTCTTTTTCCTCGATATTTTTTAATTGATTTAATTAAATAATATAATTAAAATAAGATTTTCTCCGTGATCTAAGTAGCAGGACATCACTCATCAGCAAGGAATGAGGGTCCAAGAGAAAGTACAAATTTATGAGAATGTTTGAGGGACAAATTATTAGGTGCATACCGAACATAAAGTATCATTCGAATTTTTCTTCATTTACAGTAAAAGTGCAGTCAAAACGCAACTGCTATAGTAACTGTATTTTGACTGCGCTTTTACTGTAGACATATAAAAATTTAGATGATTCTCTCTGTTCGGTGTTCGAATCTAATAATTGAAGAAGGGCGGGAGAAGAATGGGAGATGAGAGGCCTTGTTCATGGAGAAATTATTACGAGTTGAGTTTGGAATAGAGATATGTCTGTACTTCAATAAAATGTTGACATGTTGATTAGACACGTGAATATTCAATTGTATTTATTTTTTAATTTATATATTTAATGTGTCAGCGGAATTTTAAGTCAAGTGCAGTCAAAACATAGGTAAAGCGCAATCAAAAAGTGTAACAAAAGAACAGTCAAAACGCAACTAAAACAGAGATAAAGCACAGAAAAGTGCAACCAAAGCGCACTCCACATGTCACATTTAAGTGGATGTCCGGACGTATCTCTACGTCCGGACTCCACACCTAATAATTTCTCTTGTTCATGAGGCTAATTTCAACATCCAATCAAGTGCTGAATCAGCTTCGTCTATTTGGAAGGGTAGACAAAATATAATTGTGAAATATATATAATATTATATATTAAATAAAAAATAATTTTTTTCTTAGAATTTTAATAATTGTATTTATATTAAATGAAGACAAAATAATTAAATATTTATTTTTCTAAAAAAAAATCAGAGTTAACAATTGCTTGTTCTTAGTTTTTTCTAGTTCCACCCCTACACCCAACAACTAGGATACTCTTTAATAAAAATAAAAAAATATATATAAAAAAGATATTGTTGCAAGCTTAACTAGCAAAAATAGGTAAGTTGTAAAAATTATGGTCTGTGAAACAACCATTAGAGATATTTATGTTCTCCATTTTAGAGTTTTTTATTAATTTTATTGAAAACTTTAGGCTTCATTTAAGACTTTCACAGCCCGAGGGATTTCAGAGCTTGATCTTACTATTTACTTCTGACGAAGCAGCAATCATCATAGGCAAGATGAAACGCTTTTCCAACTCTCAAAATTGTTTGGAATACGACAAACTAACACCTTATCTCTACCGAAAGAAAAAAGGAAGCATATAATGATGCATTATTTCAAACAAAAATAAAGCACCGCTGTGCCGCCAAAAATCATACAGCCATCCATCCTTTAAAGCTAAGCATTTTATTAGAACAGAGAAAGTTATAGTCTTCTAATTACTACCAAAGCATCATACATGGGAGAGAAGAAGAAACACAAACTGAAAGAGTCTAACAATCACCACTTCAAGCCCTGCTCTGATGTCAAAGGGATTCAATTTGGAGGCCAATTTGTCTTAAAATCCTTCACTGTTCGCCGATCATCTCTGCTTGAGCTCCTTCGCCTTCTTGCCATCCATCCTCAGCAAAACCAACTTGAGCATCATATCAATGGCCTTCCTTTCCCTTCCACCACCATGTATCTTCCCACAAGCTTCACCATATTAGCTCAAAATGCATGGCACGCACTTACACTTGGTCTTGGCACAAAAAAGTCGAAGGTTCTGCTTTTCGTGTTCGAGACGGAAACCATGAAATCTGCTGTGGATAGAATCTGGCCAGCCATGTTTCCTCTTGGTGATGTGAACAAGAGGCTTATCTTTGGGCTCACTGGCTGTGAGATGGCGAGATTCAAGTTCAGGAAAGGGTGCTTGACTTTCTACATATATGCAGTAAGGAGGCTGGGAGCCGCTTGTTTTCCTTGTGCTGGTGATCTGAGGGTGATTTTGGATTCGGTTATAGAACTAAAGGACTTCATTGATCATACTGCAATGCTGGCTCTGTCAAACCAGAAGAGCATTACCTTCCAGCCTTCCGTTGACAAGTTAATTTGATCATTAGATTGGCTTTTATCATTTGATTTGGCAAGTAATTTCATGAAGGCTAAGTTGAAATTTATTTACTTATACTTGTTTCATATACCATTATTAACGCAAAAAAAAATGTTATGAAGTTCCGATTTCTCTACTGAGCCACTTTTTTGTGTCCGCGTCCGATTAGCTAAGTGCGACACCTAATAAATTTGCTTCTAACAATTTCTCCAAATTTTACTACTTATTTTTATTGAGATGAAAATAATTGAGTTAGAACTTGTTCGTGTTTCAGCTCATTTAGTAAGCAAGCTAAGAAACCTTATTTGAGCTTCACTCATTTACGCATCCAACGATCAAATTAGAGCCAGTTTTTGTTGATTATAAAAAATGTTCTTCATTATCAAACCTTCTTTTACATTCGTAATTTCTGCCAGACAATTGAAGCAAAAAGATAAAAAAATTGCACAAAAAGCAGATCTATTTTTAGCTCAAATAGAAACTAATACTCAAGCTTGCCTAAGATTGAATTATGGGATGAGTGACCTACTGATAAGTTACATCAACATGACATACAAGCTTGCCTAAGATTGAATTATGGGATGAGTGACCTAATGGTAAGTTACATCAACATGACATAATCGTGAGACTCTTAGGCCAAAGAGGATAATATCTCGACAGTTAAAAATTTGAGCTGTTACAATATGCTCACTATTAGATATCCTTCTGAAGTCGCAATATACAAAAGATTGATTTGAATTAACATAGGCTTTTCCAAATTTATCATTAGATACAATATCATATGTCGGGATTTTTCATCAAATGATATCTCCATAAATTATAACTTCATAACTGTTCTGATCAAGTTGTCCAGTAGGTGATTTTTATATATGAATTGTTTATGTAATTACCATCATCCATGATTTGAGAGAGGCCTGAGCAATTTGGCTATTTCTTTAATCACTAGATTTTAATGAGTTATATACAACAATGATTAACTTCTTAAAGAACTTGATATTGAAATTTGATCTTTAAATAATATATAAGAATCCTATTATTTAAAAAAAAAATGACATAAATTAGTTTGAAATTAGTTATCTTGGGGGGTTCTTTGTCAGTTTTAGTTTCGACAGCCTCCTAACGTACCCTCCCCACGAAGAGAGATCAGGAGGCACTTGCCTTTGGTTCTTCTCGCCCGAATCTAAGATACGACGGCTCGAGATCTTCAAAATTTTAAATCATTATACCTAGATCAAAGATCAATGGCATAAGGTTTTCAAATTAAAGGATCTTCCCGCTCAGATCAAAGATCAATGGCATGATGCTTCAATTTGTGTATTTCTAGCCCGATCTAAGATCGACGATGCAGGTCTTTAACACTTGTTTACAAAAGTCCCTTCCACCCTTCTCTTTTTCATATATATATATATATATATATATAATGGCCCCCTCGTTAGTTATATATATATATAATTAATAAGATGACCTGCAATCGAATCAGATAGTGGGATTGATCTGGTCAGATCAGACTAATCAGATCATATTAGGCTGAATCAGGCCGGGTATCCTGAGATCAACGAGGATCGTGCCGAATTCGGGGCTAATTGGGTCGAATTAGATAAAGCGGGTCATAGGGTATGCAGGCTGGATGGGAATTAGATCAAAAGTAGGTGGCTGAGGCGGAATGGGTCCGATGGGTTTGGCTGGATGTAAGGGCTAGGGATCGTGTGGACTAGGGTCGATTCGAGGACTAGATCGAGTGGCTAGGAGGGCAGAGGCGAAGCTGGTCAGGCAGAGGGAGGACGAAGTGTGCATTTACAGAAGTTAAATCGAACGCTTAGGCTATCTGCTTACGGGAGTTCGATCGAGGACGAGCGAGCTGCGGGAGGCTGGGTTGCATGCGGAAGTTCCAGCTGGGAGAGTACGGTCGGCGGGAGGTCCATTGCAGGTGGATCGGTGAGTGTGGTAGATAGCTGGTGCGTGTAGAAGCAGCGTCGGAGGCAGGAATCGGGATCGCAGAGGGTATCCACATGTAGGAGCAGCGTGGGTTGGGCTTCTTGCATGTAGAACGGTAAGACGAGAGAGAAAGAGATGGAGGGGAGTTCCAATTTATGTCTGCGTGAGTGCCCCTCCAAGATCAGTTCATTGAAAGTTTATTATTGTGAGAGGAGTTACATAAGGGAAGTTACGAGCAATCGTGGGCAGTGGGTACGGTTGTTGAAACTTTGTGGTAGTCAGAGGTAAACAAATGTCCCCACCAAATTTGATTTGCGTCCTATAATAGATCATGTTTGTTGCAAACTAATTGATCATACGGATCTCTATAATTTATATTTTAGATGTCCCATTAAGGTTTTGTAGAAATCTCTAAAAGCTATATTAATAAGGGTAGGGGGCGAAGTTTGTGGCTTTGGTGTTAGAAAGAGAAATTCTACTAGGGTTTTGGTGACCTAGTTTTTCCCCGGCCGGGGGTTTCGCCCCCATGGCTCCCCCCCCTCTCTCTCTCTCTCTTAAACTCTTCACCTTCTTCCTCTCATCCAATCCCCCGTCCCTCCTCTGAGGCGCCTCTTGACTGGAAAAATCTATTGGCCACTAGTTCTCAAGTTTCAACCGAATTTTCGCACACCCTTTCCTTTGTTCCTAACAAGAATGCCACAGCCCTCTTCTCCAAAGAGCAATTTAATGCATGTGCCCCAGAGTGGTCTCTTTCTCTGGTTGGATATCTTATAGGCAAAAGGCCCAACTACGAAGCACTCTTTGCAACGATTAAGAAAACTTGGTCGCTAAAAGGTTCACTGACGCTCCTCACCATGGATGAAGGATTTTTCTTGTTGAAATTCTCTGCCTCGGAGGATTACGAGCTTATCTGGTTAGGCGGGCCTTGGTTTTTATTTGGCAAATCTTTCATATTACAAAGGTGGACGCCAGATTTCGTCCCCAAAAGAGAGGAGTTCCCTTCCATTCCTCTCTAGGTGAAGATCATGAACTTTCCATCTGGACCCCAGAAGGCATTTCAAAGATAGCTAGTTGCATCGGTATCCCTTTGGCAGTGAACGCTCTGACTGCCACAAAAAGTAGATTGACGTTTGCGAGGGTCTGTGTCCAGGTGACAAGTTCTTCCCCCCTCCCTAATGAAGTTTATTACTTTGTAGATGGGAAAGTTGTCCCCCTCAAGGTGTTTTATGATTGGAAACCATAACCTTGCACCCAATGTGGGTCAATCATGCACTCTCCCACCTTATGTCTCATAGAAGCTGCTCCCAAGACCCTAAACTCATCACGGCCCAGGGGACGCAGCTTGAGCTGCAAGCCTCGACCTACCCCACCTCCCCGCTTATCCATCTCAAAACCCCCAAATACTTCTAATGTGCAACTAATGACTCCCATCCAATCTGTCTAGCCTACTACTCAAATCCCCAACCTTAACTCCCCCTCCACATACTCTCTCCCTGAAATTCCACCTTCCCCGAAGTCCTCTACTATACTCACCAGCAACAAATTTGCAGCCTTCCCGAACCTCTCAGACCAAGAACATTCTTTATTGTGGTAAAGGCCGTCTGGTCAACCCCGATTCTTATTACTGCCCCCTCAACCAGCTCCTCTTCCCAATTCCCCCCAACCTTTGGCCCTCCTCCCCCGCGTTCCCCAAACTCCACCTATCACGCCTATCTTCAGCTCTAACAATATCACCAACACTAAAAACACCAGAGCCAAAAATGCCAAAAAGGCAACCCCTCTTCCTCCAAAGGCCAATGATTTTACCCAAACTTGCAGCTTGGAATACTCGTGGGTTTAACAGCCCCGACAAGGTTTTCAGTTGTAAACAGCTTGTAAATTCCTACAATCTTGATCTCATCTTCATTTTAGAAGCCAAAATTACCCCCTCCTCTACTGCCGACCCCTGGTTTCTAGCCTCTCACAACATTTTTCCCATGGAAGGTGCTTGTGACAATTTTGAGCTCTCCTCCCTGGGGAGGATCTGGATTAAGTGGAATACTGAGGTGGTCGATTTCTCTTCTACTCTCGAAACCAACTAGCTGATTCATGGTACTATTGCTAGTGCTGCCTCCTCCATTTGTGATGTCATAGTGGTTTATGCCTCAAACTCCTTTGATGAAAGACTAGATCTTTGGAAACAAATTAATAGCATCTCTACAAACATAACCAGACCCTGGGCCATTATTGGGGATTTTAATTGTTGTAGATCCCCAAAGAAAAAAGATGGGGGAATTCCCCTTTCCGCCAATAAAGTGGGTTACTTTAACAATATGATCTTCAACATTGGTGTACATGACCTCACTTATGTAGGTCATTACTACACTTGGTTCGATCAACGAATTGTCAATCCCATCTATATTAAACTAGATCGTATTCTGGTTAATGATTGTTGGCTTGCTGAATTTCCCAACTCTTTTTATAGAGTTGGTGACCCCCTTTGCTCTGATCATTCCCCCATTATCCTTTACCCGAATTTTGCAACCCCTAACAAACACAGATTCTTGTTTAAAAATTATTGAACGAGCAAGCCGGCTTTCTGAGATCTTCTAATTGATATCTTTGCCCAAAACTGTAATGCCAGTCCTCTCTACTCTTTTTGCCACAAACTCAAAAGCCTCAAGAATAATCTCAAAGGTCAACCTTGGAACAACTCTAATTTTATGAAGCTTGAGCTTGACGCCCTCACGGCTGACCAAGGCTCTCTCCTCAGCAGAGCACAGAATAATCCCCAAGATCCTCATATTGTTGCTTCCCTTCATCAAATTAATCTCAAGCTCATCACATTCCAATCTTCCATGGCTAATTGGGCCATACAACGAGTTAAGGCCAAGTGGCTTATGAATGGAGAAGATGATCTGAAATTCCTGTACTCTAAGATTAATATCAGGAAGAACTACAACAAGATCAAAGAAATTTCTACTTATAATGGCTTGGCTTCATCCCATTCAGATATTTCTAGAGCCTTTATTCAGCACTATCAAAACCTTTTTTAACCTCCAACTTTCTGCTGCTGAATACCCCCCTACATGCCTACTGGAAGCTCCATTCCAGCTCACCTAATTCCTTCCCTTACTGCTCCAGTCACTATTGAAGAGATCAAGAACACCATTTTTTCTGGTCCTAACTGCTTGGCCCCGGGACCAAATGGCTTCACCTTTGCTTTTTATAAGGCTTCTTGGCACCTTATTGGCCCTCAAATCACCCAAGCTATTTTATTTTTCTTCTTTACTGCTAGACTTCCTAAGCAAGCTAAGGCTACCGCTATTGCTCTTATTCTGAAACACCCTCATGCTACCACCACAAAAGACTTTAGGCCCATTTCCCTTTATAATGTTATCTACAAAATTATTGCAAACATCATTGCCAACAGAATGAAAGGGGTGATGCATTTCATCATTCACCCTAGCCAAGGGGGATTCATACATAAGAGGACTATTTCTGATAATATCCTTCTTGCTTCAAAGCTTATTTGGGATTTCAACAAGTCTGCAAAAGGGAAGTTTTTTTGTGCTAAGTTTGATATTACTAAAGCATTTGATACTGTCTCAAGGAATTTTCTCCTGAAACGTCTTGCTGCCAAAGGTTTCCCCAATATTTTCATAAAGTGTGTATTTCTGACGTCCATTTTTCTATTTGCATCAATGGAGCTCTGGAAGATTACTTTAACTCTACCACAAGCTTACGTCAAGGTTGCCCGCTCTCACCTTATCTTTTTAGCATTGCCATTGATGCCTTGTCCTCCTTGTTTGATGTTGTCGTTGGGGATAGTAGTTTTATTGAGATGAGCTCTGGTAACTCATCTATTACTCATTTGCTCTATGCTGACGACCTCCTAGTTTTTGGGAAAGCTACCTATTGCAATGCTGTTAAACTTAAAGACATTCTTAGCCACTTTGCTAATTTATATGGCCTTCATGTTAACCCCAGCAAAAGTGCGATTCTTTTCTCCAAAAATAGCCCCACTGCTAATGAGATATGCAATTTACTTCACATTTCTCAATCCTTTTCCCCTATGAAGTACTTGGGCATTCCCATTTTTTATCGCAAATTGAGACAATCTGACTTTCAACCCCTTATTCAAAAAAATTTTAAAGCCCTTGATAGCTGGAAGGCCAAAACTTTGTCTCTAGCGGGGAGAATTCAATTTATCAAATTTATCATTAGCAACACCATTGCTTACTGGATTCGTGGGTTCATAATACCAAAAAGTTGTTCCAAAGTTATTAATAGAATGTGTTCCAGATTTTTATTTTATGGTAATATCTCCCTGAAAAAATTGCACACCATTAGTTGGAAAGATGTTTGCAAACCCAAAGATAAAGGCGGGTTAGGTATCCCTGGTTTGGATTCTGTTTACAATGCATTCACTAGCTCTTTGATTTGGAGGTTCTACAGTCCTAATAATCTACTTCTTTTTTCTTGGTGGCGTATGAGATACCTCTCACCTTGGAAACCGATTGAGAAGCTTGCCTCCCCTTACTGGAAATTCATTTGCAATATGGTGGCCAATGCTAAGCACTGCTTTCAGTTCCTTATTAAAGTTGATAGCACTCTTTCTATGATTTGGGACCCCTGGCTTTTTGGGTCTTCTATTGTTGACTGGCTGTCAGCTAACAATTTAGATTATTCCTGGGAAGCTAAAATCACCTGAGCCACCAGCGATGGTAATGTGAAAGATAAATCCCGACATAATTGGAAGATTAATTGATTATAAATATATGGTACAACATCATGAGTAAGATCATCAGCGTTGCTCTGAATGAAGATTTTTTGTTATATCTAAATGAAGTTCAATAACATAATTTTTGTATAAATGTGAAGAAAATAAATTTCTTACAACTGCTGTGACGAAACTTACACTAAGGCTTCAAGCATCAAAATTTATGAATCCTAACTAATTACCAGAAGAACACATCCTTTTTTATAAGAATAAAATGTAGATCACTTCCTTTTTTATAAGATAAAACTAAGGTGAGAATGAAAGGGCAATTTTATCTGGAAAAACACTTCTATCTACAAAAATGCCGATTCATTCCATTGTTACATACACCTTACCAGCTAAACCCCTACCTTCATCCCTTATAAATTGGAAGCATGTCATTCTTTCAATTTGTGTTATTTGGCAACATACTTTGGGGGCCTTTCCAGTGAAATCCAACCAAATTTTCCCTTCCTAAAGTCATTCAAAACACGAAATGATGCTTGGCCAACATCCCCATTGAACAACTGAAGGGAAATCTTATCAAGAAATCTACAAAAAAAAAAGAAAGTTTTACCGCATCAACTGGAAGTGTCGTCACTTTCGAAAGAAACGGTATTATCAAGATAGTTCACAATATGTTAACATACGTTTTACCAAAGTAAGAATCCGCATCAACTCTATAACGCTTGGAAAGAGCTTCGGGTCCTGCAAGGATTAAAAAAGAGGTAGCTAAGTAGCAAGATCAAGAGACAATACCAAAAATGGAATGGTTAAATACACAGTACAATGAGAAAAAATTCAATCCAAATCTCATTTAAATCCTTTTTCGCCATTGTGTCTTGTTAAAAGTCAAATTCTCATTTAAATCTAATAAAAAAAGATCATTTCTATTATTTTCTAATCAAGTTTTTTTAGGTCTACCTCATTTAAATCTAATAAAGAAAGATCATTTCTAATATTTTCAAACATCAAGATGAAAATTCACCTATCGCTGGCAGCCTTACAAGCATCTGCAAAAGAATGGTAGCCACATCAGTGACATCATATGATCTCTCGCCAATGTCATCACATATTGCAAGCTTGATTGCAGCTGCTTGGTCCGTGAGACGCATTGGTATTATGCCTGGAGAGTCCAGCAACTCGAGATCATTCCCAAAGCGGACCCATCTATTAAAGATTAGTTAGATCAGTAATAAAAATCACCATCATCAGCATTAAGTTTAGCCCAACTATTTGGAGTTATATTATGAATCTTTAATTTCAGCCATTCTAATTAAGTGCTTTTAGGTGCTAAACCTATTTGTTGTAAATCATTTTAAAAGATTTCTATCCATGTAACTTTAGACCGTCTACGGTCTACCACTCCATAATCCTTTGACACCATTTATTAACTTGTCAAACAAGGGATTTTCTACACATTGTTGTAATGTTCATACTATCTAATTTTATTTTCAATCACCATATCTTCAATAGATATCACTCTAACTTTTCTTCTAATATAAGTATTCCTTAATTTATCAAAAAACTACTAAAAATATGCAATCTTAAATTTTAATCTATATGCATGCAATGATTATCTTGTAAGTGTTTGATTGGGTGCAGAATAAAAGAGATGTGCTGATGACCGCCAATAGAATCCCATTGATGCCATGTAAGTTTGTTTTTAATTGTATGAAGGACAGAGGGTTAAAGCCTTGAAGGGGATCATTTCAGGTTGTGGCTTTGTTTGGATTTAAATAGTACCAACGGAACTCATAGGCTTCCACTTTAACTGAAACTTTTTCTTTACTCTCTCCAACTATACTCACTAAAGATCTGTTTGAGTGTTGATTCTAATTTTAAAAAATGTAATCTTTATTGCTTACTTCAGCTCTCTTGTAACACCTGGTCTAGGAGCTGCTGGGCACATTCTACGCTTTAGCAAACGGTTGATTAGAGAAGATTTGCCTACATTTGGATATCCCACAATTCCAGCCCTGACCTGTAATAGAATGAAGAATTTATCAAAGTTAACTAAGAGTTTAATGCAATAGTTTAGGGGAAAAAATATCACATCAATTATTTGTTACTTGAAACATATTTCATAACAATGAGGAGAATGTTGAAATGGCTAAAACTAGGCCTAAATCCCAAAATGGTCCCACGACTATTTGTATATGGTCAATTAAGTCCAGAGTATCACATTTCTCTAATTTAGTCTCTGATCCAAAATTATCCCTTGGGCACTAAATTAGCCTCAATTTTTTTATAGGCAAAGAACTAAATTGGGAACAACTTATCACAATTTGAGGGGTCATTATGAATCAATTTTGTATAATCAACAACAACAACAACATCAAGCCTTTGTCCCACTATATGGGGCCGGCTACATGAATCCTTTTTCTCCATTGTGTCCTGTTAAAAGTCAAATTCTCGTTTAAATCTAATAAAGAAAGATCATTTCTAATATTTTCTAATCAATTTTGTATAATCAATGGACTAAATTATATAATCTCAAGGACTGAATTAGCCACAAGCGAATAATAAGAGGACTATTTTGGGATTTAATCTTATGTGTCATAGGAAAAGCACATGAACCTAGAACTTGAATTTCATAAGATCAAATATCAAGTGAAAGCAAATTTCACACTTGTTAATGAGAGTAGAGACAACCGTAGCCATTTTTTTAGTCAATTTGCAATTTGAAGGGCCTATAATGACCAATTAAAAAAAACCAACAAAGAAACATTTGAAAAAGAACAAGGAATCAGTTGTAGAATTAAACAAATCCAATATAATGAAGCATCAAGAGTTTTTGAGGGGAATAAAATCATATAATTATATGTCAAGGCAGAAGCTTCATAATGAATTTAAATTAAGCACGACAAATTGACCCACTACTCAAGGATTAATAATCCATAAAATAGAGTCTATAGGCAGCAAGAAAACCTGAGCCTCCATCAATTAACTGCCAAAGAACTGCTTGGATTAAAAATACTCTTTTGTGGGGATGAAATCCATCTATTCTTATTTTTTAAGACAGGTTATGAGAAAATGCCAAATCTGTGAAACTAATAGAGCTTGCAGAAGACAAGGAAGAAACTATCAAATGCTTAAAGAAAATATAATATGAATTACTGGACGAGGAAGTAGGCCCTTGGCTCTACGTTTGACATTCACGTTGGCGGCTAATGACTTTGCAAGTCTGCCAAGTTTCATAGTGCCCTGCAATTGAAAAGCAATGTCCATGTAATTAGTAAGTGTGACAAGTCATCAGAAAGATGCCTTCGGAAAAAAAAAAAAATTCTTCTAAGTACCATTCCTAGTTGCCCATTTGAGAATACAACTTTCAAGCCCTGCTTTGCAAAGAAAGTAGCCCATGCATTTCTATCAGCAGTGGATATCATGTCTTCTCTATTCAAAACTAGTATCCTCTTACGATTGCCAAGCCATAAATCCATCTACAGAAAGAAATTTAGTCAAATGCCAAGCAGAAAGGTTGATCTTTTAGAATTAACATTCGATAAAAGATAATTATTAAAACCTGTGGATGACTTGTGGACATTGGGATCCTTGCATCACGAACTTCGATTACAACATCCATTAGCTTGAGCTGTTCTTTGAGTTCCTTCTCTGTTTTAGCAATATGACCAGGATACCACTACCAAGAGCACATGAAACCATAATGCGCTAAAATACACTTCCAATTTAAGTAGATATAAATTAAAAATGATCATGTTCCGAAAGAAAATGTTTGAATATAACAACTCGTTTGTACCTGTACAGGGCGCAGTGGTCTCGTCCAATAATTCAAATCAGCATCCAGCTTCTCCCAATCAGTTTCTTCCCAGAGCCCCTCGGTTGTAAAATTAGGAATGCTACTTTTCTGTTTCTGAGATAAGTTGAGGGTATGTCCAGCACTAACCTGCAAAGATCTTCACTTCAATCCTATAATACATTGATTTCAAATCATTAACTGTATCCCAGTTTTTACTGTTCTAAGCCGTTTGTGAAAAAAAAAATAATAATATGAAATGATCGAAATCCAAGGTTTCACTGGTCATAAAAGTAACATACGCTAACCATATAAAGAAATGAAGAGTATGAGAAAAATCAAAACCCTAGAAGCGAGGTCTCACAGCAATCGGAGCGAGAAGCGTGGGGGAAACGTGGACGATGAGCTTATTAGAGCTTCCAAAGCGAGGCGCTGCAGCGAAGGGCGCCCAAGAATGGCAATTCGTTGGGGATGCCAATGAAGCCATTGAAGAGCACAGCAGTGAAGTGCGAACAGGATGACCAGTAACTCAACCGAATCTTCTTAACGTTGATTAAAAATTTTATCAGGATATTAGTACTTGGCTACTTGCATTGTGCTATTTAAATATATCTTTAATTTTATTTATCATAAAATATCTATCAGTTTAATTTTATTTAAATTATTAGTTAATATCATAAAGTTATTAGATAATAATATTAATTCACATAAATTATAAATGGAAAATTAATAATAATTAAATATTCATTAGTTCTCTAATAAACATTGTAAATATTTGTTCGTTTAATATATATCTTATAATTTACTAATATTTATCTAATATTTAATTATACTATCTAATAATTAAATTGTATTGAGAATAATTAATGGTGTTGAAATCAATGATATGCGTAATAAAAAGAATTTTATTCTATTATTAAAAACATAAAGATATTCTTAAAAAAAAAAATCATTCTTTTTTCACTCTTCTAAATTTTAACTAATTATTTATATAGTTTTTAAGGAATTGGAATATATCAATATCATATTCATATTAATTTCTCATACTTTTGTTAATTTTAATTTAAGAAGAATTCATTTTTTCTTAAATATTATAATTGTTGTGTCCAGAAGTATTCGCGGCGGTAGAGAAATATATATAATTTAACGTCTTAGCGTTGTACGAAGATCCAGCACACACACAGATAAAAAGAGAGTGTGCATCATTCACTAGAGACACCAAGATTTTTACGTGAAAAAACCCCTGAAAAAGGGGGGAAAACCATTGGGTATAGCCCAGTTTGAATGAATCCACTAGTATTGCAGTTGATTACAAATGATGCCCTTTTTTGGGGGAAGGTCTTAGCTTGATGTACATCTTATACACTACATTACATGATGAAAATATAAAGAATCACTGATTATGTGTTTGTTTGGTCTGAAGGATTGTAGTCGGCGAGTGACATAAGTCAGCAGGACCGTTGTTTGACGACGAAGGTAAGAAGGATGGCGTCAGGTAGACATCCAGTAATGGACATAAATCCAGCATTGGATAGATGTCCGACGAAAGTCTGACAACAGGCGGAAGTCTGGCGTCGGGTAGAAACTTGGCGACGAGTGAAGGTCAGGCATCGGGTAGAAGTCTAACGTCAGTTGGAGGCTGAGGAGAACTCCGGCGTTAGATGGTATTCAGATAGAACTCCGGCGTCACTTGGAGTTCGGGTGAAACTTTGGCGTCACTTGGAGGTCGGGTGGAATTCCTGCGTCACTTGGAGGGCAGGCAGAATTCCAGCGTCACTTGGGCGGAGTTTAGGCGTCGGGCGGAACTCCGGCGTTAGATGGTAATCAGACAGAACTCCGTCGTCACTTGGAGTTCGGGTGAAACTCTAGCGTCACTTGGAGGTTGGGCGGAATTCCGGCGTCACTTGGAGGGCGGGCCGAATTTCGGTGTCACTTGGGCGGAGTTTCGGCGTCGGACAGAACTTCGGCGGTGGTCAAGGAGGAGTTTCTTCCCTCCTATCCTTCTATTCTTCTTATCTTGCTTCTTATTTGGGCCCCTCCTTAAGAGAAATGAGGGCCAATTTATAGATATTTTGGAGTGGCATGACCTATAAATAGGTGAGAGATCGGGGTAAATAGGGAGTGGTCGGCCGATATTGAATCCCTTGATCGTGTACCGTTCGTCAGACATTTGAATGTCTTAATGATGTTGGAATTCGGCGATCTTGGGCTCGTTGGATTCGTCTCGTCGAGTCGCTCGATTCCACCATAAGCATGTTATGTTTAGAAACCGTTTGGTAACTCAAATTGTGGTTTGAAACTTCCAACAGCGCTTCGGGTCCTTGATTTGGACTCATTTAGGCCTGGATTGAGTCGAATTTGGTGTCGTTGGGTTCGTATTTCCGAGACCCTCAATTTGACTATAAATTTGCTGAAATCGAAGTTCATGTGATCTCATATTTAATTTTTGAAGTTTCCGGCTTGATTTTGCCTCGAGAATCGTGCCCGATCAAGATGATTTTTTGAGGATATATCAATAATATTATCATATTATATTTAATTAAAGTTACATTATAAAAAAAATAAAGATGAGAATGCACAAGTGGATGAGTGGCTTGAAATAAAAAGGTTGGAATAGCTCAAGTGACAGATGAGAGCCATCTAGCTAAGGTCTTTAACCATTTGAGTTCTCTTTTTGCGCATGGGAATCCAAAATCTCTGGCAGTACTTTATTCTGTTGGATGCCAATTTGTTTAATGGAAGGAAGCTGCTTTGCCTACTTGCTAAGCATGCGCGAATAAGAATGCCTTGTTCTTGACCAAGTAATAAAATGATGCTTTTAAGTATTGATATGATATTTCGACGATGCAATGGAATGGAATGATCATGCTTTGTGTTGAATTCATAATGCACTCCAAGAATCTGAGATCAAGAAAAGTCGCCTTCTTATCAAAATCTGAGAATAGTAAAACCTACTTCTGCACACAAATTGACGTGGTAGTTTGTGGAAGAAATCGCAATCTGTAAGGGAAAAGGGAAAACAGAGTAATGCAGGGAAACTCTAAATTGAGGTTTCAAAGAAATATCATATATTTTGCTCTTTCTTTTTCTTTGAATTCATATACTAAGGTATGAAAAGATGATTATAACAGTAAAGGTATGTCTAGTACAATTAAAACAAAAAGAGCAACTATAGTAGTGGAGTCTAAATGAGTAAGTTACTCCCTCTTCTACGTGATGCACCGCATCAGATCTCCCATGCTGAAAGAGGATTCTACTCTATGAGGTTGTAATAGTTGGAGCGTCTTCAAGAGGAAAGTAACTGGATATATCAGCAATGTTTAAGGTGGAGGACGTATTGCATTCAAGAGGTAGATCAACGATCCAAGCATTATTATTGATTTTCTTCACAATGGGAATAGGGCCCACTTTGCGGCGAGACATATTGGAATAACAACCAGGGGCAAAATGCTCCTTCCGGAGACAAACTACAACTAAATCACAATGATTGAAAACTTTGTGACTACGGCGAGAATCGGCTGTCATTGTGTACTTAGTATTTGATGAAATAAACTTGTTGTGAACATCATTGATTAAAGTTGTGAAATTTTCAGTTAATTGGAAAGCAGTATTGTTGCATTTTGGAATGAACGCACGATCAAGGGTATGATTGGGCATCTTTGAATAAACAATGCTAAAAGGGCAATGACTGGTGGAGCGCTTAGGCATTTTATTGTATGCAAATTCAGCTTGACTCAACAAGTCATCCCATATTTTCGGATGGTCTTGTACTAGACATCTTAACGTATTTCCAAGTGTGTGATTCACCACTTTCGTTTGACTATCAAATTGTAAGTGGTAGGCGCAACTTAAATTGATGTTAGTATGTAACTGCTTCCACAAATCATGTCAAAAATGGCATATAAACTTAACATCTATAAGAGAAGCAAGGCTTCTTGGTCTATCAAACTACGTAAATGAACTATTTTATTAAAAAAATATGGGCAATGTTTGGCGCATCAAATATTTTTTTACTTGGAAGAAAGTGCGTCATTTTGGAAAAAATGTCTACCACCACCATCACCGAATCATTGCCATGTTTGGTTTGAGGTAATACCAAAACAAAATCGAGACTAAGATCTTCCCAAATGGTTGTCTTCACATGCAATGGCATGTACAAACTTGTATTTTGACTGCCTCTCTTATAAGTTTGACAAATCAAACATCTTTCAATAAAACGAGTAACAACTCGAAAAAGATGAGGCCAAAAAAAGGAACATGAAGTTGTGATATGATCTTTTCGCGCCCACCATGACCAGATAGCCCTTCGTTATGCATTTTCTTAGGCTTCATTTGGGATGGCTGTAACTATCGATAAAGCATGTTGTGAAGTTGTTGTCCAGAAAGCTGCTTTTTAAAGCTGCTGTATATAAATCAATAAATTTTGTTTGGGTAATATAACTGCCAAGTTACTGTGTTGCTGTTGTATAATAACAAATTACCTTGATACCTTTTTATATATTGAGATACATATAATAATCAACTAACATTTCTGAATTAAAATTAAGTAATTGATCCAAATATATCATATGAATCATCAAAGCAACTCACAAATTGAGTTTCAAACAATAAATATATTTAGGCATTTTGTTTTTATCATGAATTAGTCCATAGCATCACAGAAAGTGATTTTTTTTAATATTTGAAGGTAATTAAGTAAGTAACTAAGCAAATGTTTTAGTTGATTTTTTTTTTATATTTGAAAGTAGTATATACCAAAACTTGACTCTTTGAAAACTAAAAAATTTGCTGGGATGCATTTAATAATCAAATGACTTTTACACATCTAAAAAGAAAAAACTTAAATGTAATGCTTTAATTTTCAAATATAAGATGAGTGGAAATGAAATCAGAATTAAGTTTAATGAATTTTAGAATTAAACTTTCCTAAATAGAACGATGGATTTAGCGATCAAAATAATATTACCTTTAACCAAACAAGTTGAGTTGTTTTAGAATTACAACCTTTTAAAAATGATTTGTAATCCTTCTTCGGCATTTTGAAACATACGATTTCTAATTCCATAGATGTAAATTCAATTCAGTAAATAGCATAAAATTTGTGTAGCATTTGCCTGTTAAATCTTCAAAGCATAAGCAGATGTTTATTACCCAATATATTTTATGATTAACGTAATTTATAATAAGAATACTTCGCCATTTGATATTTATTCAATCGCGGACTTCAAAAAAGAAAAAAAAATATTTAAAATTAAAAACTAACGCCCACCGTGGGGCTCGAACCCACGACCACAAGGTTAAGAGCCTTGCGCTCTACCTACTGAGCTAGACGGGCTTTGATGCACTTAGATTAATTCATTTATATTTATTTATAATTTATCATCATTTAAAATATTAAAATTCCTCCTCGATTCCCGGATACGTTCAACCACTCAAAGTCCTGACGCACGTGGGGTTGAGTGGGTTAAAACAAATACGGGTCTTGAGTTTGCTCAAGCTTGATTAGATAACGAGCTCACAAGTCAAGTTTATCGAATTTTGAGTTTAAGTTTGATGGAGTCGCT